GAAACGAGGATTGCCGCATGCCCACATTTTGTNTTTTTAAAGGCTTTTTTTGAAAAGATCACACCGGAGAAGATTTGACGATGTGATTTTCAGCCGAAATACCTGATGAAGAACTCGATCCGGAGTTAATTTCAAATCATTTCGAAGAACATGATTCATGGGCCATGTGGTGCGTTTGATGACAAATCCCCGTGCATGAAAGACGGTACTTGTACGAAGCGATATCCGAGGAAACTACTGGCCCAAACTATTACTGGGAATGATGGTTACCCACAATACCGACGTAGGTCACCGACAGATGGCGGGAAAATTATGAAATTGAAAGTACGAAATGTTGATGTTCCCGTCGATAATCGCTGGGTCGTGCCGTATTCGCCGCTTCTGTCAAAAACGTTTAAAGCTCACACCAACGTCGAGTATTGCAATTCAGTCAAATCAATCAAGTACATCTGCAAATATATCAACAAAGGGCATGATATGGCGATATTTGGAATGGAAAATGCATCTGCTCAATATGACGAGATCGAGCGCTATCAAGCTGGCCGATACATCAGCAGCAATGAGGCAGGCTGGCGTATCCTGTCATTTCCGATCCATGAGCGGCATCCAGCAGTGATACACTTAGCGGTACACCTTGAGAACGGACAGCGCATATATTTCACGGCGGGCAATCTCCAGTCGAGGCTCCAATCCCCTCCACAGACAATGATACATTCGCGAGCACGTTACTCTTCTCAGAAGTACCGAGATACTACACATGGAAAATTGTAGCCAAAAAGTTTCAGCGGCGAAAAATAGGTAACAATGCAAACATAAGATAAACTAAATATTTCAATCAAATTCAAATGGTCCCTGCCTGTTCCAAGAAAATACATCTACGGTTCGCAGCGAAGCGCGACCGGGCACGCTAGTGTCTAGCTAAAATGCGGCCCGAAAGGGCTTGCGGGTTCCATGCCCATACTCATCCCTATGTAATAAATGAAATCACAGGTCCGGCTGGCAGTTCCACCCAGGATTCAAAGCTGCGCTCAAGTCAAAATTATCCAATCACGCATTTTCCTCGTCGTCTTTCTATCTCAAACCTAATAGAGCGCTGTCTCCACCTCTGACTTCGGTCGAAGCGAGTGCAGTAGGTTGACGTGCTCAATGACGTAAAGTAGGATCCTGACGAAGAACGCTCGGGGAGTTCAAGGCTCGATGACCCTGTGCCATTTATTCGCTTAATCGTGCTCTTAACATTCCTCAAGTCGAGCTCCTTGAGCCATTGTCTACATTGAGTCCGTGAGATGGTATAGCTAGAGATTATTCTCCCGACGGAACCTCATGTTCGGACTCCTGAGGATGTAGGTCCACGGTCTTCGACATATAACATTGTTCCCCTGCCCATCAGGGTACGCTACATGTATTTGTTCAAAGCGGGGGCTTTACAAGGAAAAGGAAGCATAAAAAATAGACACTCCTTTATGTCAATTGTTCGAGCTCAAGGGTGCGATTCTGTTCTTACTCTATCTGCCGCATCACCACTGGTCTCAGAAGCTCCGTCGATCGCTCCAAGACAGAAGCGCAGCTACTTCCGAGATTGGCCAAATACATTAGACGACCAAAGGATTCCAGAAAAACATTGATTGAATTTCGAGAAAATGCCGGTCTCCATATAGGATAGGTTCCCAAATACCCTTGTACCGAATATTCTCCACAAGCTTTCTTGGGCCGAGCCGATTGTTCCCGCTTGAGGTCATTCAAAGACGATACGAAATTTAATTATCAACTGACCGGCTATTGTTTTCGCTCGTCGTTCTCTGAGCGCGGAAGAGTTTAGGTTTCCGTAGAGTCACAAAAATGGACAGATAGACTCGAGATTGCAGGAACGGCGCTCCTCTGGCGCTCTCCTTCGAGACTGTGGTCCACGGAGCCATGGTCAACGGAATGAAGCAACTTCCTCGCTCTCCGTATCGAGCGGGATCTCTCCAACATGGTTCATCTCGGAATCGGAAGTCAAGAAACGATTCCGAGAAAGTCGACGAATGCTCTCTCAAATTATGACTCACGGTTGGGGAGCGATTCTTGCCCGTCGATTTCTTGCTCAATGTGAAGAAAATTCTCAAGCACCGACGCATTGATTGTGTCCCATTTCCTCTATGAGATGGCACTCCTTGTGGTGGAAAGGTCCCGATTCACTCGTTCGAGAACTCAGGCTGACTGGAGAGGGCTGATCGAAGCAGTCGGACAACTACCGAGGAATACTGTCTACAAAATTCCGCCTCGCGGCACGAATATCATCGCTCACGGACAGCCGGAGTCGCCCAAGCCGAATACCAAAACGGGAAAAGTCAAGTCCAGCCAGGGAATTCAAGTTATTAGTCTCGGTGTACGTTTCGGAAGTGCGTCGCGGCATCGAGGCGAGAGTTAGAATTCATTGAATGTACGTCGTAGCCGAGGCGCGATTGCATCTTTGAATCGACCGACGACGCTGATAAATTTCGAGATTTGTCCGTTCGAAAATCAAATCGGATCGCGAGAGTTGAGGGATCGATGAGCATCGAGAATTTCTTCGTGATCTTATTAGTTCCTATCTAAAACTCAAAGTACAGATCGTCCGCTTGTTCTAACAACCACTAATACCGGAGGAACTTTCTCGGGATCCGCTCGTCCACTTGTTCCTATCCACGAAAGCTGTCCACTCTTCCCCGTCCTCGGCGTCGCAGTCCAAAGTCTCCAAGGTGTTGAGGAAGGTTTTTCCATTGAAGCCTCCCACGACGAAGAGACGGCCCTGGACGACGGCAGCGCCAACGTTCGCTCTACAGGAAAAAGGGAAATTCGCAAGGTCAGCTGGTGGTAAAGCGACGAGCGATTGGGATGACGAATACTTATCGAACGGAGCATGCTCCGTTGTTATATCGTACCTGCAAGTAGTGAGTGGAGGTCCCGCACTCCAGGTATTCGTGGTTGGATCATATACTTCGACGGAGCACAGGGAATGTGAGCCATCATGACCGCCCATGGCGTAGATGCGGCCTCGAAGAGAAGCTACACCACAGCCTCGTCTGGAAGATCAATGATTAGTTATTCTCAATGATAATCACCATCCGTTATCCCCAGCCGATTCCTTGGCTGGGTGATCCGTTACTCCGGCCTGCAGTCACCTACCTGGCTTGTTGCATCGGAGCGCACGGAATCCATTTATTTTCCTCAGCTGAGTATCTTTCCACGCTGGGACTGCAGTTCCACTCTTCACCGCTACCGACCGCGTAAATGAAGTCTTTGAGAACAACTATGCCCGGTTGCGATCTGCAGAACAAGGGAAGCACAAACGTTAAAATCTCTGAGCTAATAACAGGAAGTTCGGAATCGATTCTTATCGACAAATGCTCCGATCGAACGCCGTCGCTGTCTCACCTTTTGACTGTCAGAGGTGCCGCCAGTGACCAGGAGTTGCTCTCGGGATCGTATACGTCCACACGGGTCATGCCCCGTAGGCCGTTCGAGCCTCCGATCACGTAGATCTTTCCTTTGAAAGCGCAAACTCCTGCGAACGATAAGCCAGTCGCAACGAGATGTTCTCCCCCACCCAGCACAACACGTTTCACGTACAATTGCCACAAGCACGCGAAACTCGAATTCACCCCTGCTTCGCTTGTCCGGTCACGAGCTTTTCGCAACACGAATGAGACGCTGATACTACAGTTTCAAGTACATTTCTCCTTTGTATTTCAAAGACGCCTGGACCGACGATTGTGCGAGACTCGAGCTCCTCGCGAGCCTCCTTCGATGGAACTATCCTATCAGTCCCGGGAATCGGAATATTTTCCCGAGCTCCCCAAAGTGTTTTTCCCTCGAAGTGGATATGTTTGAAAAAGCTGAGCGTCGGTTCAGACGTCTTTCACGCGCACGCTTCATGTTACATCTCAATGAATTCGGGTTCTCCTCAGCGTCTAGACCTCCGAGCTCCGGGCTGTGGGATTCACTTGTGGAACGACTCCGAGCCCTCCAGGAAGAGTATCTCGGCACGCTCGGGTCTCTCCGCGAAATCCGCAGCGCGTGCATATCGCGCTCCCGGCAGTGAGGCTTTCGCAGTCTGTCGTATCGACTACGTCTGAGGTTCCTGTGTTAGACCTTCTGGTAAAGCTGTCGTTGCTTGGTCGCAACAACTCCTCAGAAAGTCATTGGGGAACACTTTATGATGCTTCTTTGCAGCTCCAGACTACGATCATGCCTTCATCCCGGTGCCAGGACTAGTGGCGCTGACGCTGATACCGCTAGAGCTGCGATAGGACCCCGGCATAGGTCCTTGATTGTTGGTCCTGTTACGAACGAATAATCTGCTTAATAAAGATTTCTTTGTCCAGCGATGGGGTCCCGACAGGAACACGCCTTGGTTGCGATCCGACCGTCACGTATCTCCGTCCGGAAGGGGTCATCGCGCCCAAAACCAAAATACCTAGCCTCGCGATCGAGATCTCTCATCGCCCATGAGTACCCACACAAAATGCCTTAGCAACGACAGCTTTTCCGTACAAGACAACAATCATACGGCGTCAGTCGATCGACTACAATCCGAGTCAAAATAACAACAAAGCATCACCGTGTTCGTTCAATCCGGCTGCCTTCAGTCGGTCAGATTGTTGATTGACGGCACGCGGTTTTTTAAAGCTAGAATAAGAGATTACGCTGAACGGGTAGACGCGCTTCGGCGTGACAAATCCTGTTCTATGTCTCTATTTTTTCCTTCTTTCGGTCTGCTCTCGTTACACACATTCTCCCAACGCCATGACCGCATGCAGCGACACTCACCTGCATGGGATCTCGGGAAAGGCAGCGGAGCTATCGAGTGCCACTTCTCCTGCTCAAAGTCGAAAACCTCGCACGCTGTCAGGTCTTTCGTTCCGTCCGAGCCCCCGACCGCGTAGATGAGCCCGTTCAAGTTGGCGATGTCGGTTCGACCGCGCGGGCTATGCATGTCGGGGAGCTTGCTCCAGCGATTCTCTGCCAGGTTGAGTATTTCCACCGATTTGAGGCACTCAACTCTATCGTAACCACCACAAACGAACAGGCTCCCGTTGAGTTCAGCAACGCCCAGACCGCACCGAGGGTTCGGCATAGCTTGCAGCGTCGACATTTGCTGAAGAACCGGCGAATTGCTCTGGCCGTTCGGAGAGGTCGGCGATTGGTCCGGAGGTGTTTCCCCATGGTTGAGTCGTCGAACGGTCGATAGGAGAACGATGCTCCCATTAACGATCGCCAGTCCTGTCGTCGAGTGGGCGCTGGTGCTCGTTGTCGCAATGATGCGGAAATCTCTGCGGAGGATGGAGAGGGGAACATGAGACATCTCAATCGCGATCCCCAAAGCTTCTGGGAGTCCCAGCTTCACCAGAATTTGATCAACCGAATCGGAGGAAAGATCAAACAATGAGATTTCGAATTAGCACCTGTCGAATTCCTCGTCATCGCTGGAGCCTGACGAGTCTGATCTCGTGTAGAGGAATTGTTTCGGTTTCGCAGGTTTGTTGTTCGCCGTACCCTTCTTGCTTTTACTCTTCGCGTGACCCTGTCCGTTGCTTTGATGGAGTTTCTTCGAAAGCCGCTTATAATCCTGCACGAGCTCCGAATCACGGACGTCGCCAGTCTCGATATCGTTGCAATCGTGCAGAGTTCGATCCCGATTCAAATACAGCAGGTGGACCTGTGGAAGAGTGAGATTCGGTGAGATACCGAATCGCGCACAGATTAGGGTTGAAATATCAGTCGGCCCCGAATGAGTCGGCAGATCAGGATCTCAGTATCACGGGAGTACGAGGGCAAGGTGAACCTTTTCCGTCAGACGGTCGATCTCGAGAGTCGTCTCTGTGGCTCGAAGCCAGTCGAGAACCATTTCGAGTAAATGCCGCTCGTTGGTGTTATCCATCTCAGCCCAGCTGCTCTGGATGAGCTCGACTTGGATGTGTTTCAGAGAAGAGATTTCGGAACTTTTGAGAACCTCGCCAATCTGCGAACGAATGAGATGGTTTTAAAACATATATACGGAATCTGATCGTTCGAGGAGAACGGAAACGACGCGACGGTCGGGTAGGACAAGACATACGTTTTGCTTGATGAAAGAGTCGAGACGAGTGATCGGGTCCTTGTGACAGTGGTACGAATCGGTCAGGATTGCGCGCACTCCAAGGCAGTTTTCTGCGGTCACATTGTCCACCAAATACGCGCCACAAAATTTAACCACTGCGTTTATCTGAAAGAGGATAGCAGTGAGCAATCACGCATCACATGAGCTGAGCCGGAGCCATCAGGCTACATGTGGGCGTTGTCTTTTATGCCGTGAAACAGCCGTACTGCGCTCGCATGGATAAAGCACTCACTTTGAGCTTGGCTGCTGCGTGGTAGAGAGCTTTGACTTTCTGTTTCGGTATTTCCAACTTCGAGGTATAAGCATAATTGACAAGGCTCTCGAAAACATCGATGTCGTAATCGCCGCTAAGAACGCAGTGATCCGCCAGGGCTCGGTCCGCGGTGTTATTTTCGACACGCTGGTTGAAAACTTCGAAAAGATACGGCGAAACGCTCGCTACAACAGCTCGATGACAGCTAATCTCGTGAGTGTCCACCTTCGATGACACCTGAGGAAACGATCACGATGAGTCCTCCGATCGGGATCCAGATTTCTACCGAGATGAGTAGCTAATTTGGAAACTCTAGAATTGCGGTTTTTAACCCGGGTTCCGCAAGCCCCTGCTCGAATGCTCAGACTTTTATTCATTTCATCGAATCGGAATGAATTTTCTAAGCTCGAATGCATGCAGGATACTTCATGCGATCGTGGTCGGAGGTTTTGGGGTGATTAAGGGGAAAATTTGGGAACATAGAGTCCGAGACCAACGATAAGGGTTCCGTAGGGCATTTAAGGCTAAGAACCTCTGTGCTAGAAGCTGACCCACCTGGATAACTCCATCACAGAATTGCTTGTTCTTGCGGAGTTTGTTCAAGTTCTCCAACACGCTACTGGCGGCAGTCGAGTTGTCAAACTCTATGAACCCCTCTCCGTTTTTCATCTGAGGAGCATTAGACGATCCTTAAACCAGAATCAATCTTCCGAGACATCAAGGGACGGCTCGGGGAGGAAGCTTCGGCTCTCCGAGGAAGCCGGAGCTCTCGCCGCTGATCCGACTTGTGCATGCACTCACCTTGTATTCATCCTCTTGATCCCGAACGCTGATCACAGCGGGTTGCACATCACCATTGTTCTCCATTTTCGCTCGAGTCTCCAGTCCGTGGCCGTAGATTTCCTCCGAAGCGAGGGGGTATTCTCACACCAGTGGTCGAAGTCGATCACGACGGGAATGTGTAGGGAACCGATTGATCAAAACAAAAATTCTTGAGCGCTGGTCGAAACTCCCAGCTACGAATTTCCTTTCGAGAGTTTGCCGAGTTTCCAACTGCTCCTCTGGAATCCGAAAGGGGAGGCAGTCGTTAGCCGAGGGTGAGAGATCAGAAAAGTCTCGCATTCAAGCGGACTAAACTCGTCGGCTTACTGACAGCAAATACTCTTCCACACAATTTGGAGGCGAGATTCCGGAGCTTTGATTCTATCGATTCTGATCGATTGACGAGCTTCGCTATCTCGATGGTCTGTCTCCAGAACGATTTCCGAGAGAGGGAATTATTCCGACCACATCCAAGAGATGTATCCGATCTACGGCAAATCAGATACAAGTGTGAAACGAACGTCAGGAGATAATGCCTGTGGCTTGACCGCTCGGCCGCAAAATCGTCCCGCCATCCCACCAATGCGATAGAGCCTCCTGAGAACGTGTCTTGCTCCACCTACACTGTGGCGTCTTGGCGAACGAAATTACGAGTCTACGAAGCTCATCGTACACACGAGCAACCAATTGGGAGGATTCCACGAGCAGAGGAACAATCGAAACCCGAGATGACGTCACGACCCGGTCGTACACGGCTGGGCGAGGAGCCCGCGAATCATTTCTCCCCGCTGGAAATGTTTACGTTCGCCGAGACCGCATCGATTGCTTGGAAATAATATCACACGCGAGTTCGCGAGCCTAATGATAGGGACAGGCTTTGAGATGGCATGGGAACGTCATGGATGATTTGAGTCTGAGCTTCAGGAGCCGCTCCCCGACATCAGGCGATAGCTAATCTCGGCCTCTGATCCATGCAGCTATGAGATCAGAAAAGAGCTCTCGATGGAATAGTTACTGGGAAAGACAATTTGACGGAAAAGTTTGTCACAATTGCGGGCAATCGCGTAATCTGTGTGTTCTATCGTGAGGCCATGATCTATGACTTTGCATCGTGTACAAGCACCCTTCCGATTAAATGTATGTCGACGCCTCAGCAGCAGCGCTCATCACTGCGAGATCGACTCCTCCTGTTTCCCCGCCATTTCAATTCTGGGCTCTTGCCTCAGAGACATTGGGGAAGCCAGAAATATTCGAGCTAGAAAATGACGCTCAGCTGTACCACGTCAATGGCCACATCGTTCTAACGACTCTTTTCGGACACATTCAACAGGTCCTCCACTGGTTCATACAGGCACTATTCGCCCAGTGCGCTCCCCGTGACGAAATCAGGCATGAGCGCGGCGCGGGGCCCGAATAAACGCCGACCTTGGAACGATCGACATGACGACTGACCGCTCCTTTACGACTGCTCATGCCAGATGATAGTCGAACTTCCGGAAAGAAGCTGTCAGCTCACCATCGCTATATTAGGCGGCGAGTACGGTACCAAGAAACTTACTAATTACAACGAGAGGCGTTTGCGAAGCTGAGGAGGCATTCGCCGCCGAAGCAAGCGACTCCAGTGGGTGATAAGACTCTCTTCTGTCGGAGCTCCACGTGAGTCGACCGATCGACAATCGGACCTTCCCGCTCGCTCACTCGCTATCCGCGGTCCAGAGCGCCATCATAGAGAGGGTACACGATGGCGCGGCCGAGAGGAAGAAACAACTTGTAGCCAAACAGGTTCGCCCTGACGCCAGAGCAACTCGAGGCTTCTCTCGCGGCTGATCCGGAGAATCATCGACTTTTCTCGATCCTAATGCCCCGTCTCCTCTATCACAACCCCGCGAACCTTCGAGAATCAGCGTCGCTAACCGCGCTCAACTTCTCAGCGTATCTCACAATCGAGGCACTCAACTCGCCGTTTTCTCGGAAGTCCCGGTAGACTATCCAATCGTGGCCCAATTTCGTTCTGACCCACATAGAATGATTTCTGGCTGGAATTCTCATTTTCTGCCGCGTATCAGAGGCCCATTGCGGACGCTCTGCGCGAACTATCCGAAAAAGCTTCGCGGCGCATTCGCTCGGTAGACTAGAGCGGGCGTCAGGCATCACCGGTCAATGTACTCGTCGGTCGTGGAGCGCTAAAGGTCTCCGGAACAATGACACGATTGACATTACGAGATCGAATGTGCCGACGAATCGTCTGCGCGCGGAAGGCTTAGATTAGACCAGCGGGACTTCGGATCTCTTCCTCCGATCGATCGAACGATCCGGAGACTTCCGGAGATGTCGCCGATTCTCGCAGCGAGGGCTCAGAGAAAAGCGATACTCTCGAGGTCTTGAACCCAAGAAGTCGCCCTGCGAACTCGAAGAGCATCGCTTCAAATTAAAGTGATTTTCCCGTGTACGGCGCTCTTATCCCGAATGCTTCTGCTAGGTCAATACTCGAGCCACATTGACGAAGCTCATCGATTAACTTAGCGGTGCTTGAACGCTAATGATGTCATTAGACATCATATGATCAAGGAATTGCATCAGATGACTCATCACGCCATGTCGAGTGCTCGCTGAGCGGAGCCTCGAAATAGCCAAATGGATTTGCTGACGACAACCTTCAACCCGCCCAACTGAGCTCTCCAAGCAGTGTGAACGTCGCTGACTTCCGAGGATACGACCGACGAGGGATCATTAGAGGCTCAGACAGAGGACTCTCCGACCCGATGGACCGCCAGGCTTGGTACACACTGGCGTCTACAGATCGCTCGCATTCCTCGGAGCGGAAACTCTTCGATTTCACGTTTGGGGCTCCATAAAGTAAGGAAGTAGAAGAAGGAAGGAAGAGTTTGATATTCGTCCACTTCGTATATCAGCAATTCTTCCTGAGTGAGTCAGCTATCCTAATAGTCAATCACTCAGACCGCAGGATGGCCTGTCTAGATCATGAGCTCCGCAGAGAAAAGCCCGGAGTCGAGACCCTGTTATTTCGCAAATCGGTCAGCGCAAAAACAGTCTTCGTTCACTGCCGGGGATTTCCGGAATTTCCCTCCTAGCCGATTCAAGGGACCGTATCTGCGATCTCTGGACAGGTCATTGTGTCAATCAGAGCTGCCCTGAATTCGCCACTCTACATAGAGCATCTTGATTCGAGAGCAGAGGCCATCTTGACCCGGGAAGAGCCCTCTCTAGTGAGCGCAAGCCTGATGCAAGCTTTTCGAGAAGAGTCTTCTCCATGGCGAGAATAGCTGAGCTTTTGTCAGAGAGCTTTCTCAATAAGATACCTCTACGAGCATTTCGAGACAGAATTGACTTACGAGGAACCTCGTCGGCGCCGTTTTTCCGCCGATTCCAGTGGGTCATCATCTTCCTCGTAAATTATTCCCGCGGATTTCCGTTCTGAGACGCGATTTCAGAAGGTTTCAAGATGATTGAGGTCGACCGGTCTTGCCCGCCCCCTTCCCCCCCCCCCCCCGGAACGCCACCGTCACGTAGGATTTCCCTCTGGGATCAAGTAATTCTGGGAATCAGTCTCCGTTCCGGACATACATCTCACTCGGCTCACACTGTAGCGAAATTTTCCGCCTGTCGGTCCACCTCGTGACTGACGGCTGACGCACATACAAATAGAGCAAAAACCCGTCGAGACTCTTTCGAGGCTGCACGAGACCGGAGAAAAATAGAGCTGCCGCCCTGAATAAGAGCGTTTCTCAAGCGTATTTTTACGCGATGGAAATCTCAGCTTCTCTATGTCTCGTGCTCGGGCTCTCCCCGGCGCCTCGTTACAGACTCTACGGCACCCGAAAGAAGAAGAAGTCGGGCAGAGCATCCTACTCACTTCAGAGATCAGATGACGTCTCTCAAAAGCGTTCGGAGCCCATCCAGAACAAAGGAGCATCCGAATCGAAGTGGAGATTTCAATCACTCTGTTAATCATACGTTCGAAACGTTCGAGAGATGACGGTAGCGCATGTACCATCTGGCGGCCACACCAAGTTCGATGCAACACGTCGACATCTCGCTACTTGTGATCTCGCAGAGACTTGTGACGAGATGGGTCTTCTCCTCGATGACGTAAGGAGCAACGGGCCTGCGTAACCAAAGGCTGAGCTCAACAACTTTATTTCGGGGCCGATCGTCGAGGGACTGTACTCTCACGTAGATCATTCGGAGGTCAGACCAAACTCGGGCTTGGAAGTCTCTGGCCCCGCCGGGCTTCCCGATTGTCCGGGCTCACCGTGATTCATGGCACCGAGAAAGATGAGGGAAACGAAGTTGTGAAGCTCGACGACGTTCCGATCTGATCGCGCGCGATCTCAGTGAGACTCGCTGCTCGCCACCCTCAGGTGATGAACGTTTCCGGTATGCCCCCGGTGACTGTCTTACAGAGGGTCCCCCAACCACGGGAATAGATTATCATTATTATTATCAGAAGAGGTCTTCCCGCCCGGGGCATTTCGGCCCTTGATCCTGGGAGGTACGGATGTAATTTTCGAAGAGAGCGCGTAGGCGGGTCGCAATACTCACCAGGACGGAGTCGTTTGATGTGGCACAATCATCATAAGGACTGAGAGATCTCACAATCTCGCCACTACGCGGCATCCGCAGAGTTCGAGGTTTGAACCTGATGACCATGAAGATGTTCGGTTCGGGGGCTGAGAGCCACGTCGATAGCGAGAACGACGAAGAGATTGACACTGTTGTCTCGGTACACGAAATTAATTCGGCTCCCGTTGTTCTGAAGGAAGCCGTTTTGACTCCGAAGCGCGAGATCACTTCTAGGAGATGGCCAGCTCACCTGTGGATGGAAATGGAATGATTTTCGAATCGGTTTCGATCCCAAGAGGATAATGATCACCCGCGAAGCTTCGAAGATCGAGTCGGCATATCCTCTGAACTGCACCGTTCAGTCATCTGTGATATGACGGCTTGCGGTCAAGACGATCGAGAGATTCTTGAATTCATTGTGATAGCTTTGTCTTATATCCGCGGTTTCGTGCCGAAGCCTTGAGACGATCGATCGGAGAGCTGCCGCTGTTCTCAGCGCCTGATGGATACAAACTGCGTAGCTCTGAAACGAGCGGCTCGCTGGACCTTCCGTGAAGAATACATGGCAAATCGGAGTTTCGAGCTTCATATCATGCGGTATGAATGGTGTCAATTTTCGGAGTCTCCGCGGGAAACTCCGATCTCTTATGCGTGGACATGCATGTATCGCGAGACCGAGTTCCGGATTGATTTGCACTGGCGTACAAGCATCACAGCTTGTCTCGCTCAGGAGACCCTTACCCAAATTTGTCAGTTCATTGTCGATGGTGTAAATCCGATATTTACGCTCCATGCTCTTTGCAATAGATATGTCCTGAAGGGAGAGCGTGATCGTGAGCACGTCCTATCTGAGCGGTGCGAACGACGGCTCGAAATTGGGTCATGAGGCAACGACCTCGCTCGGGACGAGGTGCCGAACAACCCATCACTAGGGGCTCTCCCGGGAGCCTCGCTCTCGCGAAGACAGTAAATTCCGTCTCATTCGCGGTTCCGCGATGCTTCGCTCCTCGTGACGTTCCCAACTCGCTCAATACTCGATCCGAGAATCCGGTGGATTTTCGATGGAGTATTGAAATCTTAGACGTTCTAACTTCCATATCCGCAACGATGTGTGGGGCTACGGGGTGTCTTTATCAGGAATCCCGAGGGAGGGCACATATTCCCGTAATACCGACGTGAGTGAAGTTCTTCGGCGAATCTCCGAAGAACTTATCATACGCTTGGGGGCTACGGAACTCGGAGGAAAGGATTTGGCACGGCTGAGAGGATAGGATATTGGGAGCGTGTCGAGGAGCGAGCCCGAGGATTTCATTCTCGTCGGAATCAGTCTCGGTCTCTTCCAATCGGAGTTCATATGCCCCTGGGGCTCTACAAAGACCACGTCGATAATAAGGAAGTTTGGTATTCCCGGAGGAGGAAATATAGCACGGGAACTTGGATTTCGTTCCCGAAATCAAGCAGCTCAGATCGCCCTCGAATATCGGGTCTCTGGGATGCCGAAAGTCGGCTAAGGTCGATTTTCGAACAAGGTCCGTGGCATGCAGGGAGAGCTCATTTGACTTCACTCCGGCAAGATGCTGCGGCCGCTGTCGGTAATGCAGAGGACCTGTTCGACTCATCCCCAGACTCTGGACGTAATTCATTGCGGAAGACGACTTACCGGAACTAGTGAACTCACGGAGATCGTCGATTTCCGTATGAACTTCTTCGCGAAACCCTTCGGGAGAAACGATTCCCGACGCGGATGTCCTGACGGAACTAGAGGAAATTCACCGATGAGTCACAATCACAATCTGTGAAGAGCGTGCAGCCGAGAATACCGTGCTGAGGGCTTTGCGAGTGTGTTCTGAGCGCGAGGGCGGATTGGGAGAGATACGCGCTGTCTCGCTTGCGTGAGGAAGGGCCCTTACAACAAATGGACAGCTCAGCCGTCGGTCCTCGTCCCTTCTAGACTCCGGAACAGAATGGAAAGAGCCGATCTCGGATACAAGGAGGCGACGCCATTCCGTGCAGAAAAAAAAGTCGTTTCGGAATCAACTGACTGGTGTGAGATTCATATGCGAGCTTTACCTGATTCAGAACACAAACTCTCGGGGTAATCTCGCGAAAGATACGGACGTTTTCCTCCCTGATCCGCCCCATTAGAAACCCTCGGAGCAGTCCCGACAGATGCGCTGCGTGCGCTTCCGGTCCGATTTTCAGATTATTTCGAATACTTCCTGGGATCATACCTTAAGAATCATCGAAACCATCCATAGACCAACGCTACGTGATATAAGACTGACACCGAAATATCGGAGTGTACCCAGAGAAATGGGGCAGGGGACTACGACCGCGGAACTTCGCGGGCCGCGAGACTCCGCGACGAAGATTTGGGAAGTTTCGCGGGACCGACTTCGGATTTCGCCTCAAAGTCGGAAAATGGTGCGTTCTCCTCAGAGGGCCATGAGTTCTGGCATCCCCGTCTACCTCGTCTAGAAAAACCCTTGGGCCTTCATTTTGACTCACTCAACCATCTAAGATCAGAAACGAAATGGTTGCCCCTTTCGTGTTGCAGCTTCCGTTGGAGTGAATTCGCTTCGGGTCGGGGTTGATCTCCGATATATCGATGGCCCGATGAACTCACCAGGACCCGAAGGAAGCTAATTGTCGCTCCAGAAATCGGGGCCTCATAAGAAGTATGAATACGACTGTTGTCTAACGACACGAAGGTTTGATTATATTCTATATTTTATTATATTCATCTTTTATTGTATCGTGAGCATAATTACTTCCGGCGTGCGTAACCTTCGGAGACCACCAAACTGGAGCGCGCGACTTAAGCTTCTATGCGCGGATACCAACCTTCTCCTCCAAGCCAGCGGCATGTGTTTAGTCGGAGCCACGATAACAGGAGTATTTTGGAGGAATTTGTGGTTTGTTGGAAATTTGCCCATTCAGCGTTACTTTATTGTTGGGAGTCAACGCCAGGGATACAATGAAGCTCCTCACGCATAATATGCTCACTTCGAAAGCCATCAAAGGCGTGCAAACGGGATTCCCATTGAATATTGTTGTGAGTACCTTCGGAATAGTACGGGCTGGGATTTTGAGTTCACAGTCCCGCACCCCGGGCGGCCATCGAAGAGAATTCTTAGTGTTGTTTGTGCCATGCGAGCCCGAAAATGAAGATTCTACGGTTCGTGATTGAATCATTTCGGGAGCGGAACCGCGAAGTCAGCTCGCTCTGAAGGCCGAATTTCTGAGAACATGTGTTCTCCCTGTGCACCTGGCCTCTCCCTAAAGGCGAATTCCACAAGTTCGGGCAATCGCTGATTCTCGCGCAGAACTGCTTATCCGTTCGGGAGCTGACGGCGTCTTCCTTCTACGGAAAGAAAACTGAGGCCTCAATTCTTGAGGGACTGCGACCACACTTGTTGAACAGAATTACGACAGTCCTACCTACCTCCTTCTGATTTCCTCGCCGGGAATTGAGCACTATCGATCTCATTGCAATTTAGTCATGGGAATTCGTCTCCGGTTATCCAACGAAAGCGGTGTGCGGGGTGGGGAGGGATGGTCGTCTCACCTGATCGAGAAGCCCATTTCTTCGTCCATGTCAGTCGCATCCTCGGAGATTCTCAGCTCGAAGACGGGCTGCGACTTTGAAATGGTGATTCTGCGGAGGTTTTGAGTCCAGATTTGATCCTGATATGTTTTTTCAAGGTAAAAAAGACGAAGACAGTGGAGACCGAATTTAGCTCGGAGTTCATTCAACGCATGCTCCCGAAGTTGGATTGGCCTGCTTTCCTGAAAGCAGCGCAAACGGTGAGTGGCTCTCGTCGATGTAGAACCTGAGACCTGAGTCTTGATGTGGACTGCGCCTTCATCCCCGTCGTATTCGTTGCCGTTCTTATTTTCAGCTGGGCGTCGGTTCTCAACTACCTGATTCGCCCCCAACGGAGACGACTGACGAGACGGTCCTACGCTCGATACACCATGCTCTAGTGGAAGTTGAGGTTATCGAGGGCGAGCTCATCTGTCCAGAAACAGAGCGCAAATTCCCTATATCCAATGGCATACCCAACATGCTTCTCAACGAGGACGAGATTTGAAGGTAGCGGGTTGAAAAGCGTTCTTCCTGGAGCCACAAGAATCATCAGTTGAATGTAATCAATGAACCCGGATCTCGCAGCGCTTTGAGAACCAGAGTTCTCTTGAATTGCACTCATTACCCATATGTGTATTATCATGCCTACATCAAAATACCGTGAACGGTTGTCAGCACGGAGGCTTTTTCTTTATCAAATACTCCAGACGCTTTTCCCAACGGGGACTTTCGACTTTTCAGGTTTACAAAATTGAGAAATATGTTTAGTGCGTCCTCGGATTCGAGAATGACGAGTCGGGGAATCTTAGGAGTCGGGTATCATAGTAGACCACGGATCCTGTTCGATGCCATGGAAGAAGTAGATCCGGAAGGGTTGCTGTGGTCGGAACTCGAGGCTCCCCCTCCACGCTCTGGAGTCTGCGATGCGCGATCCATTCTCGGGGGTCCTCTATCTAGAGTCTAGAGGATACATTCGTTTTACTGACATTGAAGTCCGGCTGTCTCCGCACGGGGTCGCCCTGGGGCTCACTCCACAAGTCATCAGAGCACCATATGTGTGCGAGTCCGGATCTGATCTGAGATCTACGAAGTGGGAATTCGAGAATTCGACTCCCGGTCTTCTCGAACGTATCTTGGTGCGTGATCTAATTCAATCTACGTAATCTGCATGGCCTCCGTGCATAATGGGGGAAAACTGAGACTGTATATGCATAGCATCATCGCAGACGTAAGGTGAAACGTGACCAACAAAGAGCCCCTTTTCGTAAACTCAGGTCCCGAAGTTTATTCCACCCGCAGATTTTCTCGGAGATTCTTTTTCTCCTCGCACCCGTCGGAAATGGCGATCCCTTTCCGAGAATTTTATCTCCGACGTTCATTCATCATGCGAAATATCGCCAGAATCTCCCGTTTATCGGTAGCCTCCACCGAAAACGACGCCCCTGGAGCTGGGGAAGAAACGGCGCTCAGGGCGGTCCGCCTTCCTGGCCTGGTTCGCTTAGCCTCTGAAGTCGTTCCCATCCGTCGGTCGGTTTCGCGCTGCCCCTCCGAATCCTCGAATTATGTTAACAGGGTCTCCCTGTAAGCGCGTTGCGGAAAGACGGACGAAGCCCGTGCCTTGGCAGAGACCATCTAGTAATGATGATGGCGGTATATCACCTTGTCAGAATGAATTTACGCTCTGGAATGACGCAAGGACGCCCTGCGGTGAAGATTTATTCAACACGCAGAAGACGCGTCGATGACTTCTCGCATTACGAACAGTCAGCATGAGAGCGAGATTCTCGCGTCAAATCTCCTTCCTGGTTCAGTCGTGACTGATGATCTTCTCCTAGTTCGTACCAGCTGTCGGCCGACGCACGCGGACAATGTCCCAATCACTCGCAATTTCATGATTGATCCCTACGCCTCGAGTCACATCTTCAGAGACGTCATCGTGGACCTCTCACAAAGGCCTGAGGTATCACCGAAACAGACCGATCTCTGTGGGCCCATCGATGTAAATACTGAAGGATCTCACGTAACGCGCTTCTGCGTCATGTGACGATGCGTGACAGTCTCCCATTCTTTCCGTGAAGCCACCCATTGGTGGTGCTGCTGCCGGTGCCGCCGCCGCCGCCGCTGCTACCCTTTCTATTGAATTTAATTCTCTCGAATTTTCATTCTCCGCGCGATGCGCTCGCTCTGCAAGAGAAGAATGAGCGACTAGTTTTTTCGGACGGCGCTCCTGTTCGCGCCTGTCCTGCGTTTCAGCTGACTTTCTTCTGGCGTGGACTGACTCCGTTTCTGGTGACCGACAGACATTGAATTTCTTCCGTCGACGGCAGATCTTCCAGGATCGGATTGAGTGGCTTCTCCGCGGTCACAACGCCGCTCCGTCATGCTAGCTCAACAGAAGTACCAGATCTCGGAGAATAAAAGACCCTCGAGTCTGGAAAAGGACCCCCGACGTTCAATAAAAGGGGGTCAGTGCGCGATAGACGATTCATCTCACAAGTCGTCGATGGTCTTCTCGATCGACGAGAAAGATCTCTACGGACAATGGAATTACGAGCCTCCGTTGAGCTGTGTCAAGGAAGCGGACTCTGCGTGAGTTTTTTTTGTCGATCTCAAGCGTGCCCAATCGATGCCCGAAAGTTCTTAGGGAGCAGGGGAGCATCAGAACGGAACATGGAACCATCACTTGATGCAGCCTCCAGTGGTATCTTTCCCTGGAATGCAGGGCTCCTCTTCTCGCCATTCTATACAATCTGGTACAAGCGAGAATAAGAGGGAGATGTGAAGAAGGAAACTCAAATAGGAAAATGTGATACCTGCTAGATCTGAAGGACGGCACCGAGTCGATGCCGACCGATCACTCGTGGATATCCGCGCCTTCTTCTGCTCCGCTACGAACGTATACGTCGCTGTCCCGAGCAATGACTTCATGTTGTGTCATGTCTCGGTTTTCAGTTTTTCTGTGCCGACTCGGATATAATCGGAACGAAACTCCAACTCCCACGACAGACGCGATATTATGATGAAGTAGATCACGCACGGCGATGGTAAGAGACGATGCCGACTCACGGGATCAGGAATTGAACGCATCTCGAGCACTCAACGAGCTCTCGATACCAAAGGCGATCCACAAAGTCCCCGATTCCGCATGATGGAAGTAAAACGGAGAAGCCTCGAGTACTCAAGGATTCTCGAGGCTGCCGATCGTTGTCAGGAGTCGACCGCGGAAGAAAATGACCGATCCAGACCGAAAGGAACACTGGAGGTCGTTTCAATGCTGACTGGGGCGAAGAAAATTCAGCATTTGGAATTCAATGCCAAGTGGTGACTGCAGCCAGCCCGACTGATACATGCAACCTCTTTCTGCGGAAGCGCGACTGAATTATCACGTCCACCCGGGTGTTTCACCAAGAGAGTCACGTACCGAGAATTCTCATTCTATCCAGATCTAAAGCGTTCCCCACGCCGAAACTCTCTGGGATAGAAAAATTTGAATCCCATGGGGCCAATGGGACATTGTCCCCTCCTCTCCGTCACGCGATGAGCGTCTGTCTCTTCTAGATCACCCGACTCGCCATGACTTATCGATGGTTGTTTTCTGATTGCAGAAGTTCGGACGAGAAACCTCAGGAGAAGAAAACCGGATATCTGTTCAAGTTCTTCTACTTCGTGGGCGCAGCCGGAGCCGCCATCACGACGTATCTGTTGTATAAAACGTACCTTAATCCTCCTCCAACGGTTGAATTCGAGGAGTAATTCCCTCAGCGGAATCTCAAATATGCAAACATGAGGGTTGTTGTGACTAACTCGCTTCCGACTTCCGACTTCCGACTCGATTGTATGCCGACTCACCATCATATTGACACGACGCTCAAGCGCTTTCGGTTGGAGCTCATCGTGACACCCTCCGGATTCGAGCTCGATGTACACGGGTATTGTCGGGGCCCTAGATGACTTTCGCAAGGAGTGAGAGATCGTGCGAGAGCAGTCACTAAATCGGAGAACAACATTCCGCGATTGATATCGAGACACTGAGGATCCGAAAGTCAAGTCCTACGCGACTAGGTGATTCTCTGCGGAATTCTCGCGGACTCCTTTTCCACGTGCCGCACAATTGTAAACATGAACGAGGACACAGGAGCGGTCAAATCGAGGTAGCATCCGTCGAAGAGAGCGGTCAATCCATGCGCGGTATTTTTGTCATTCATGCTTGTATTTATTCCACGGTTGGGAAGAGAGCAGACCGATCTACCGACATCCGGGAGTCTTAATCACAGAAGAAATCCGGCCGTACTGCCGTAACACTAAGTCTTGCTTCGAGAAAAATAGCCTCGTGCGGGGGAGACCTGTCACGCTGAGAGCTCAGCGAACTCCTTCGTGAGGGGGGACGGTATCGGCGGCCGGTGTCATCGAGTCTCCTACCGCAGCAGCCAGCCGAATAGTCGTGAAAAGAGAATCGATGTCAGTCTATCTACGGCATATTTCGACTCGATGATCTTGAGGGAAGCTTTGTTGAGAAATGGAATAAATCGATCGAATAAGAGGGATTCTCGGACTTTATCTTCTTCTTGTTTCTCGTGAGACAGGACCGATCGCTAGAGCTCGGGGCGACCAGCATTCGTAGATTAGCTGCTAGGACATTCCGTCGCGGTCTTGGGTCGATTAGGTGTGTCTCGAATCCCACGCCCGGTTTCTACTCCGGAACGCGCACATCCCGAAAACCGAAGATTGGTGCGCGAAGCCTGTGGCACCTGACGGGCCGCTTGCGATACCATCGGGGGAAGGAACGGAAGCGCATATATTGAATCATTCGAGAAAATCTCAAATCCCGAATGAGGCCTCGGAGGATATGGGAATGTCAAGGTCATATTCCGTATTGTGTAATTCTGACTCGAACGATTCCGTCATCCGGCGAGAAGCGTGAATGGGCAGATCCCGTGAAAGATCTCGGGGACTTGGGACGCGAGAGAAGATCGGCAGACTTCGGAAGCGATCTTGAACATTTTTGTGCGCAAACATAACGCTGGCTATAATTTGACTCTGCAATGAAGCACGCAATCGAATCTGGCTTTGCTTCTAATACTGTCGAGGAAGTTATTCCGCGGATCGATATCGATCAGAATCCGGACGGGTATCAGCGATATTTCCGGCCAGTGTTACCTGCTCTCTCCTCCGATCGCCCTCGGAGCATGCGAGCTCGGAAATCCTTGCCGGAAGAAGCTCTGGACGGATTTATGCGGCCATCACAATCAGTATGAAAGAACCGTAGGATTAACCGGTCGGAGCCGTAGGCGGATGGAGGAATGTGCAATCACAAGGCGATCGCACTCCCTCGCAACCCTCACATATCATACATGATGTTTAGCAGCGACTGATCTTCGCTTCAGCATCGCGAAGTTCATTGCGATGATGATGACTGGTTATCCAACCTACAGTCTCCATTCGTGCTTAATTTTTCTTATTTTATATCCTTTTTCCCTGTTCGTCCATTTTATTTCCATTCTGGGGACAATGACAGCGCTCCGCCTCGAGCGAGCGACCAAGAAACGCTAAATACGTACCGCCTAAATCCTCAGCCCCGAGAACATATCAAGGTCGGCAGCGAGGGCCATGCGACGCCGAAAAATGATGCTTTAACGGAGGATACCTCAAGGAGCTCCGACGACGTCTGGGCTTTGCAGCCAGTCCGGCAGTACTTGACAGTCAATCACCATGAGTGTATTCTCCAAGCTGATGCCGCCTAATTATACAGAGGGCGCCTGGGAAAAGTTTTGTGGTAAAGGAGTTTTTCTGCGACGGTTTGCAATGCTTGACCCCAGTCTTTTTGTGGTTGCCAGTACGTCTCGATCCATTCCTTCAATGTGAATTGATCGCACACATTCTTCAAATGCTGGATATTTTCTAACACTGTGTCCAAGAGATCCATAGCCGCTGGTAGTTTGACCACGGCATCCCTCACAAGAGCCGGAGAGCTGAAGTTGTGCTTCAGGTTCATCGGAGTCAGGAAACCCTGGAAGAGAGCTCAGCGTTCGAAAAATACGCGGTTCCGGTATCTACCGCAGGTCGAATGAGTTTCGCTCCGAACCCTATACATACCTTGTAATAGGAAGTACTCTCGATGGAGAGCCTCTTCCTTTCGAATTGGTCAAGCCGTTGGACCGCGACGAAGGTCATCGCTCCTGGATATCCGCACCACATAAGGGCAGCGTCCTCGGGCGATGCCAACGGTATCGGTCTGTTGCAACGAAGGAGCTCCCGAATATCCTCCAGTGCCCTCGCGTCATGAGAACCGGTGCTGAGGTGCTTGAGACAGAGAGCCAGTACAGGAATCCCGACAGGGAAGAGCTCACACAAAGAACCGAAATGGTCGAATCTGGAGATGAGTTTTGAGACTCAGAATCATGAGATGAACCACCCGACCACATACCATCCCTCCCAGATTTCCTAGGAGCCCTCGGCATTACTTCATCGAGGAAGTTCTCACCTCGACCAACCTGTGAGAGCGATTCCTCTCAATTTAACCTTGTTCTCCAGGCTTGAAGCTACTTTGAGCCAATCGATATTGTTGTTCAGGTGCAGAGTATACTGCGGCATTTGCTCGCTCGGCCCAGCCACACCCTTGAAAGCGCTCGCAACCCAGATACCGGCAAAGTTCGCCTGAGAGTATTTTTCGATCAGGTCGGCTTCCCCTTCTCCGACATTCCTGTAACTCCACAGCATTATGTCCGTGTCCTTCGTCAGATTCTTGGTCCTCAGAACGTCGATGTCTATCTTCCGGAACATGTCGTCCCACATGATCGGTTGCAGGTTCAGGCTTCTCGTGAAGGCGGTGATCGTATGCACATGATCCAGGAAGAGATCATCCGTTGTCCAATTATTCGCAAACATACGGGCCTTACACCTTCGGAATAGGGGGTCATCATTCCGAAGCCATGAATCTCCCGACATTTCGTGATGGATTGTGAGTAGCGAGACCGTCGCTTGCGGGGCAGCGATAAACCTGATACTTCAGTCCTACCGGGAGCATTCTCCGATGACGAAGACCTCATCACTTCCAATGTGAATATGAGAGATGCGATCCTTGTGAAGGTGAGCAACTTGTCTCAACATGTCTCTGACGATTATATTCGACAGGCTGAACGATGGGCACAAAGCCTGAGGATTTTCCGGGTCCTCCCTAGAGTGATGAGATGGGTTTAGCGCCCTGACAGGAACGAGCGAGAAAATCCTTCTCGAGTCGAGCTCACCTCATGGTGATGTAGTCAGGGAGTTTCAATACGAACTCCAAGTGTCCGAAGGTCTGCACTAGGGGGATGACGGTCAGGTTATTGGAATCTGCAGCATCGAGCAGGCGTTTGATGTCGTCCGGTGAAAAGTGGTTTCTCGCAGTGAGGTTGCGTAGAGCTCCGGAATAAGGGAACATATCTTCGTATTCGACCAAGAGCCCGGAAGCACCCATTGCGCGGAGGAGGGGGAAAACGCTCTCCATGTAGGCGATCTGCGGAGATCAGACGGTTCCGTACCATTCCATCTCACTGCCTTCGGGGATCTCTTCGATCACGTCGTAAATTTTGAGGTCGTTCGAACTCACGCTAAGCGGTGCACCCTTGAAATCGAGATGGACTAATTTCTCCGGGAACAGTGACGATTGATCTAGAAGGAAATCGGTGGATAATGCTCTCCTCCGATATGTTCAGACTAAGAACCGGGTTTCGAGGCGACTGATTTAAATCGGAGCAGGGGGCGGGGGAAAAATGTGCTGAGGCACTGTGATCTCACCCGAGGCGGCTTCGACATGGGGACTACACAGGAAACCTCCAAATACTCCGGCGAGGAAGTACAGCAACCCGATCCTTCCCATGGTGGAACTTCAATCCGGGATGGCTCTTCAAACTTGTGGGCTGGCGAAAACACTCAGTCGAATGGAAGCAAAACGATTATGATTAATTCGCTGATACAACAAGCTGACGTGAGAACGTGTTGAGTATACGAGATTAAGGTGTTTGGCAAGAGCGTCCGACCGAACGTACGCAGTAGCCACCCGGGAAGCGATTGTTTGGAAGCACGGCGAGCTCCGCCGCGAATCATCGTCTGGTCAACCGGTCAACTCTCTAATGAAAACGATCGTAAGCTCAGGGAACCTTCGACACTCAAGTAGATATCCATGGAATCACCAAGTTTTGATTATCAGATGATTCCATGTCAAGTTGATCATGAGGGATTCGACGTCTCCACTCGGATCCTTCGAAGTAGAGGCTGCTCACACAGCTCCGGTGGTCGCCTTACGTCTGTCGACTGGAAAATAGAGGGAAGCGGCAAAAGAAACTAGGTAGCACAAAATTGAAGCCCTTCATGCACTTCCCGCTCAGAGCTGACCTCAAGTCGTCCAATCGCACTAGCCTCCAACTCAAGGCGAGCGGTTTTCTTTCCATCATTCGCCGGAATGTTCAGGTCGGTCGCCGCTCGCTGGTGCTACATCTGTGCGTGCTTCTTGGGTTGACTTTTTATAGGCTGCACCGAGAGGGTTCAGACGCTGAAGGTCTTCATCAGGTGGAGCATCAAATGCCATGGCCTCGAGTTTCTCAAAGATCGTGCAAGCGGCGCATGAGTTCCTCTTTTGAAAGTTTCCACAGTCTAATGGCTAATCGAGCTCTATATGGTGAAACTTGGTCCATCATGACTCCAGGGGCTCAATGTACGTGTGCAGTTTTTGCAAAGAATCGAGGAGTTGTCCGGATGCTTTTGGAAAGGGGCGGGGCTGAAAGGAGAAGGAAGGGAGATAGAGCGAAGAAGGAGCCGCGTACAATGGACTTCTGGAGGCTCTGGCGACGAAGCGTTCCATATCTATGCGAGCGCCTATAAGAGACCCGTATATAGGAGAAAGCCTCGTATTAGAGACACCTCCCACCCTCCCGGTCTCATTCGATGCAATGTCAAACATCTACATATCTCTGATATGAGAGACACTCGCTCCTTAGCCCGCCTATGTTCACGGGCTGTGAGTGAATAAATTATATTCTGAAGACGTCGCGAGAGGCCGCTACCGAATTCCCACATCAAAGTTGAGCGTCGATCACGCACAGAAACGTTTGCAATGTGCCAGCGCCCGTGGATGCACGACGATTCCTCAGCCAAGCAAATTGTGACGACGCGTGCGGTCGAGTTTTCTTCGCACGTGGTTTGGGAAACAGCTGTGAAAAGAGGAGTTCGTGATAGGCCGTATTTTGTGTGGCGCTTTTCCCCGAAAAGGCAACGTTCCTGTTCCTCCCATTCTGGAGCCCGCTGGGTCAAGACTTGCGTCTGGACCTACGTCTCCCTTCCGTGGAAAACAGTACATTATTGCTTTCCCGGAGGAACTTATTTCGTGCTCTTGTGGAACAAAGTTCAGCAATCGCCACGACATGGACAATTCAATAGGTATCTTTCATCTGTCTTGTATGATCATATAGTTCCGGGGGTATCAATCAACAATCATAGTCGCCATTGAGGCTACTTCCTATCTTCCGGAGCGAGCGGGGCCGAGAATTGTTTCCGAATGGCAAAACGTCGAATATTCCCCTTCCGGATCCTTCCGTCCATTGAAATGAGCTAATCCCAAAAACTCCACACTCGTGTGTGTCACGTGGCTTGGCCGATGAAAGAAATGATCTCGCTACTGAGCTCCACAGAGCTTCTGACTTTTTCGTTGGGTAGAGTCTCGGCCGAGTCTCATCAGCTCGATGACAATGGCGGTGTCACGATGGCGGTGAGTGCCGCGACTGAGTCTTCTCCTCATCTCAGGGCTGTAGCTTCCCTCTCAGAGTCAAGGCTTCGACCGCAAGGTCCCGACCGCTTTCATTTCTGAGAGCTAAAAAGCTCTCACCACAATCGCTATTAGCATGTGCACGCGAGCTCGAACAAGATACCACACTGATTCCGAGTGTTCTCTGAATCGTGTCTTGACCCGAGTGCGATGTGAACAAGGAGTTGTGTCTCCCTGACTAGAACCTCGACTCCGTGTACCGATACAGTGTTCAATCGGAGAAGCCAGAGACGCTCCCCTGATGGCTCCGATGGGGTCCCGGGTGGAATAGTTGATCCAGTCAATGTGCAACGAGAGTACCGCAGAGCTCAAGCGCAATCGAAGCGCGAAGGGATTGCTCGGTCAGTCCCTCACGGAATTCTGATGCGATCCGGGTCTCTGGACTCTGTCGACATATATCTACGTAAGATGACATCGTACGATGTGAACCGATCTTTCGTCCAGAAACTAAAAAACAGTTCTCTCACGAGGAGCAGCGTCGACGATCGGTGAGTGAAGGGGATAAATCGTCGCAATAAGAGCCTTCGTGGCTCTAGGGCCGGGGTTATGGGGAGAGGGTCGGCTCGACCCGGGTGCCCGTCCTCCGGGAGATTGGAGGCAGGTCAGCGTGAAACTCGGGCAGTTCCTCTCTGACGATATCTCAAGGGACGAGCGCTACCGATGCTAGGGGGATATCCTCGATCGGGAATAGGTGAATTTAAACCGCGGTATTCGGACTAGACGACCGGCCCATCGAGGAATCCCTCTCGCGACGTAGGAGAGATGATGATAAATCATCGTAATCACCGCGGGTGGAAGAACACGCTTAACGACAACGACAAGTCACTCGACACCTGAAAGCGTGAGCGGTTCGCTATCATTTTTTCTAATTGATTTAAACGCTCGAACGACGCGGAGTACGGAGCAAGGAAGCGCGTCGAGCTTCTGTGAATGGCGCTCGAAAGATTTGTACAAATACCGGCCATGAGCGAGTAATTCCCCTCCCGCCAATGGAGATTATTACTTTAACGGCTCTATCAGCGGCAGCAGCTGGCAAAGCCATCCGCCGCTACCGGTAGCCTTCGTCGCCGCGAACGTTTCTATCCTTGGAGACGGCCTCCTGGAACAGCCTACCATGTCGACAGCGTCTTTTGAACCGAAACAGTGGAATGCTCTCCTCTTCAAGTAGTTTCTGCCTTTGACACCCACCGCGCGCTGTTATCGTCCGTGGTGTTGTTCTCTTGCTCCCCGTAGAAGAGAGGCTGTCCCCTCTATAAGTATGCGCACAATCTACATGCTCGACCATTCGGCAAATTATTAGTTGAAGTGACCATCTTGAAAACAATGACGAACAGATGTTGTGTTTGAACACTGAGCGATGTCGACCGCTCCAGCGGGTCAGCACCCATCGACCAATCAAGCCGGTACTGCCTCGGAGTGCTCGGCGGGCACATGAACTCATCGGGTGATTAATTGATTGATCCATCCATCCATCGAATGGTTGGATCCATCGTTGATCGCTGGGTCGATAAATCCATCAATCGATCCATGGGATCGGCCTGCCGCTCCGCGACAACTTCGTGCCGTGATACGTGTGGATAAAGCGTTTTGAGGGCCTCGAGTGGCAGATTGAGAATGTGAAAGTTTGACTATCGAGTACTCTTCAGTTTAATGGATGCTCAAAGATATCCGCGGAATCTAATGAAATTCCGAGAGACGACCACCGCGAAAGGCGAAAGTCACACCTGAATTGGTATATTGTACGAAACCGATCAACATCCGCCGAGATAGAACCTGGTCCGCAAGCGAGCGGTGGCGGCGGCGAGGGGATGGAGGATCCACCGCATGTACACCCTCGGTTCCGAAAAAGATCTCGGTCCCTCGTGCCGATCTCGCTTTTTACGATCAATGAACTTAATGAGGAACACGCGCCGCTAACGGTCCGTCGCAAGGACAGCGGCTTCTTCGAAAACCAGAATGTTTTCTCTCAGGTGAGGATCCGACGCCCAGCGGGTACAGCTTACGGCAGCGGTAGATTATCGCTTTATCTCCGGGTACGGAGCTCCTAAACTCGCACGCCTAACCTGTCTGGGAGCCTGTCCAGACTGCCTGCCAGCCTGAACTGAACGTGGCTGGGGAGACGTTCAGGGTTGATTACGTTCGGAATCACTTGGTGTCCTTAGCGGGCTTTTATCCCTTCCTCTGTCGGTCTGTAAACATCACAGACCCCGGCTCGTGACGACATCACTTGAAATCTCGAGTCGGACCGTGAAAATTGAGCTTCTTCCACTTGACGCCAATCTTCCTCTTAGCGTAGCGGAGTCGCCGCTTCCGCTGAAAACATCTTTGAAAGTGAACTCTTGAGTATCCGTCGCCTTCGCGGAAAAGTCATACGATTCGCAATGCCCCGAAGCTCGTCCTTTATATTCTCTCTGAACGCTCTCCCGATAGCTCAGGATCCAGTCCAGATTCATCGAGCGCGAGCGAAAATCGATCCTGATCTAGCCAACATGCGGTATGGTCGACACGGTCCCTCGCGTGAATGGAGAACTCGGAAAATTACGGCTATGTTGTATTGCGTACAATGATGTTATCATGGCCAAGGCTCGATTCTTTTCGCGGCTTTGTTGACACCTCTAAAATCTCTCGCCACTAGACTACAGCGAGATGGATGATTATGGAATATTGGAATTGAACCGATCGGGTACGGTTCAAGCGGATTTGTTCTTCGGGATCTTTCATTGAAGAACAAATGGCGAAGCCTGCACTAAAATGAAGGGGCTATCTGAGGGAGCGAAGCTCCATATCTGGGATCCGATAGAATGGTGAACAAATCCATGAACGTAAAATATATCCCGAGGATCCTTCCGGCATAAGGAGTGGAGCACCATTCCACGTAGACCAATAAATTCGGAGTAAGCGGAGTTTCAAGTCTCAAAAGAGATCATCTGAGGGGACGATGAACTCCAGACCCGTTCCAGAGAATCGTCCCCGAATAGCAGGTCTCGTAGGAAGGTAAGACTTTCATAGCTCCGCAGTGGTACGCTTAACTGACAAAAGTTTCTCCCGAGTGACTGATCTCTCTACCTCTCTGATAGAGCTAGCAAGCGAGCGCGCAACCAGGATCGGTCTGGGGTCCTTATTCTCGCTGTTGATCAACGAAACAATCTTGATCTGCTCGCTGGGTCTCGGATTCTAATCGTTCCGCTCGATAGATGAGGGATCTCAGAGGGCAGCGCTCCACGGAGAATGGCACTTCAAACCTACAGTCGTGGAATAGGGCATGCGGCCTCATTGATGGAACTTCACGAATTATTCGGTATTCGAGGCGGATATTTTAGACCAAATGATTTCCCCGGCCTATCCGGCGAAGACATCGGAACGAGCTTTGCTGCTCTGTGGTCAGTTAACTTTTGAAGAGCGCCGGGCTATCGGAGGTTTGAAATTCGAATTATATGATAGATGCTTCGGATATCGCATCCATATTCTGTCATGGCTCGAGACCGATGTGCTCCAGGACGACGACTTCGTCTTCGATAGCCACAGTTCTCACGATTTTAAGAATAATCATGGGATGATTGAATTTCAACGCTGCTGGATGTGATTGGGTGGGCCCTTGTCGCTCTCGGCGTTACGACTTCGCCAGATCCGAGTCGACCTTCGGTGCGTCCTCATACGAGCCGTCCGAGAAACTCGTCGAATGTGTCCTCGGCGGGAGTCTCAATACAAGCATGCGGACGAATGTATAGAAATTCCATTTTTTTCGCTGTAATCGATGCAATGATTGCGAGAGTGGCGACAAACATTTCTCCTCCTCAAATGGCCCCTCGAGGAGCGGGGATAGTGACTGACTCCTATCAAAAAACAAGAGCGATGGGCGTGATTAGAGATGAAATGTATGGTACTCAAAATCCGAGGAGCATGCCGACGACTAGTGTGGTACGAAACGGCACGATGCAGGCTCGTTGGGGCCGGGACGTCTCCAGACCTCTCTGTCCTCTCGTTCATAGAGAGTTGAGACGCCGCGCCGTCAAGTCAATTTGAATTTTCATATCTTGGATTCGCTCATGACCTATGAAGCGTACTTCCGCCATGTTGTGGTCCCTGAATGTGGCGCTCAGCCAGCGAGTAGCAGCGCGTCGTAGTCATAGAGAAGGTTGACTCGTTGTTGGATTGCTGGAACGGAAAGCGGAATGAGCCCCTTTCCGCGCTGCTCGCCGGCAGAAGTGGCCTAGCTACCTGCGGCTGCAGCGCGACCGTCAGTTTCCAGCGAGTCCCGTCAGCTCTGTGCGTTCGGTGGTGTTATCGATCGTTGCTCACTTGTGGCGGTGAAGAGTTTTCTTTTCTGTAGCCTGCCTCATGGCAGCAGCGTTCGGGCGTTCGGTGAGGTCTCTAGTGCTGTGGTGTAGTTTTGATCAAGGTAAAAAACCGACACGGATTGGACACGGCGACAACTTCTTGTGGACAGTGGTCAGCAAGTTAGCATCATCACGAATTCTTAGAGGCAGTGCTCCGAGGGTGACAAAGAATGATCACGAACGCTGAAGACTGGTCCCGATCGACCGGAAACTCCTAGTCGGAACGATGCTTGCGGTGACGCCGAGTGAAAAGGAAGTGTTTTTGTGTCGGAGGAGTATATTGTGAATGACCCACATGGTTGTTGTAGGAGTCAGCAAGTCAGACCGTCTCTCGGACGCTCGGTCGTTCAGTCGACCAATCTGTCGGTCGCTAGGTCGGTCATCGTCTGATAGACGGTCGAACGGACAGACCGATGTGAATACAACGCCGGAACTGGAAGTTTTCCCTCCGAGAATGACGCTATTCATTGACCGAAGTTCCACACTTAGTGCTGCGCAAGGGCATCTGATCGAAGCCGGCTCTCGGAAACGGAATTCTAGAATTCGTCATTGTTATTCGCGAACGTGTGGTTTCTTAATCATGATGACGAGCAAGCCACACAATAAGCAAGCTCATGCCGGGAATAAGTGAAGGCACGATGAATTGATGAGTCGCGATGCTGCTCTTCGGCATTCATCGAGCGATCCGGAATGACGGAGCTCTCGCGGGAATGAGAAACCGTAAAATAGCTCATACTCGCGGCATCTGACGACAACGATTCAGTCCTTCGAATCGGACTCGAAGTTCGAGCGATCAAACTTCCGTCTACGATTCGGTAGTTTATCGGTCAGTCGGTCGGTCGTTCAGCAGTACAAACGAACGCTTTGATTCAACAATGAATCCTAACGATACCTTAGCCGCCATCGGTTAGGCATATCCCTCTGACCACTGCTCCTCCGCGGTCTGAGGCAGGCATTCTTGCGGTTTTTAACATTTTTCGATATTCGAATTCACTCCCAGATTGTGAGAAGAGGAACGACTTCCCCTTGTTCGAACGAAACTTCAGATTCACTTTATTAGCATGAGCCGGCCCTATTATGGACACATAATTCAGTGAGTACCGCTGCCGAAGCTCCGAGTGCCGTCGAATACTATTGCACATACGTGCAATAGTATTCGCGAGTCTGTTGCACGGTTTCGAAACTCACCCGGCATTTCGCGCGAGTGAGATAGATCAGCCCATTCGTGGTGAGCTCTGAGACGCGAAGCATGGATTGCAGCGTCATGTTACAGTTACAAAATACCATCGGGCCGAACGAGTTTTTGGGGGGAGCCTTCAGCGTTCGTGACATTCATTCTAACTCGAGCCGCCGCAAAATGCTCAATGGTGACGATGATTGTGTTGACACCGTTCCTCATGAAGACTGCCACCGCCGGATTCTATAGATCTTCTACGCTTTGTGTGATGAACCACGGAAAATTCACAGAAACTTTCTGCAGATTGACAGGATACGCAGATCTCCGAAAACAGTGTTCGACGGTGTCATCAAGTTGAAACGCGGGATTCTCCCGTTCGGCAAACGTGCCAGTGTGAGAAAAAGAACTCAGGATGAAGACGGATGACTTTTTCGCCGAGGAGAGGCTCCTCAATGGGAGGAGGACGCTTGGCTTCGAACACACGTTGGTTAGTAGATGCATACTTCTAGTTGAAGAATTTCTTTCGATTTTTTTCTTCTCAATCCCCATCGTCAGGAAGCTCTCGATAGAGAGACTCGGGATAGTCCCTTGCTTATTCTTGTTCGGTGAAGCGACGTAATGCACGGAAAACTGTCTCTGCTCATCGGTTATTTGTCGATATCTTACGACGCATCCCCTTCATGAAGTACATTTGCATTAATGTGTAGTCCCACGTCCCACGTTCCACGAGGTGAACCATACTCAGAGCTCCCACGATATTTCCCGGGAAAATACTCTGGGTCGGAATCTTGTGACGGCTCGTGATTTTCTCCGCCTTCGATTTGACAAATTATACTCTGATCGTGATAATTTCGGCAAAGATTTTTGGGATCTGATTTAGAGCCAGTCGGTGGAGAGCCGGCCGCTGGGACACATGTCTGATTTGGGCGGGAAGTCGCATGATCTCCGACCGGAGAACTTCCCTCTTTCGTATCATATCCAGAGGAGCTTCGCGCCGGCGGGAGCTGAGTTAGACGGAGGAGGATCCAACCTTGAACGATTCTCAGCGGCGAGATAATTACCGAGAAAATCACTTCCGAACTCCAGGGCGGAAAGGGATGTTGCTCCGAATAGGAACGAAAGCTCGACTGGGGCTCCGATTCCGAGATACACCATATCTCCTCGAGCATGTAGAGGTTCGGCCTCGATTCGTCTTCGATTTGCGATGTGCGAATCACCTCATAGAAGGACCGGGCGCATATTCTATCCGATGATGGGTCGTCTGATCAATCCACCGATTGCACTCGAAGCATGTACGGGATCCGCGGCTCTGAATTTGAATATTATTTTGATTATCGGTTTCGCGGCAACAGTTTTCTTTTCCTGCTGTGTTTTTTTTCCAAACTTCGCTCCGCGGATAATATCGATCTAAAAAGAAATACGGAGATGAGACGATTGACCGCCGAGCCCGGCCCGCTGGCCTCGATCACCGAGCGTGATGAGCGGAAGAAATATCGGAGACCGAACCAAAGACAATATTGTCTCTTTGAAAAGTTATTGCCGAAGGATGTCCCTCGTGACGTCACTAAGACGAATCTCGAGAGCGCCCGATCCCTGCTTCAGCCCAACCAGCCATTATTGCGCTTCGTCGCAATCGGAACGGCTGTGATCATCGGCTGATCGACGGTCTTCTTTTTTCGCCTCAGACACTGTTTAAGCACAGAATGATCGCATCTGCTGCTACCTTCTACTCGGATTCCAAAACAATCGGATGCTATTCCCCGTCAAGAGCGCAGAAATTCTAAAAAAGACGCGCATGACGATCCACCGTGCGCTCTCGGAGTGATTTCCGCCGGGAGGATTGTATGTATTTCACAACAAATTGTGCTCCATCGGATCCGTCCTCTAAATAAATCATGAGAGAATGCCATTCGCTCGATCTAATCAGCTGTGTCGCTCGAGCAGCCAGCTTCAACGAGTTACTCATATCGATATTCGCCTAAAAGAGTCTCGAAGCGCTGATATTCTTCTCGAGAGGCGCAGCGATATCGCGAAAGAAAAGTTCAGCCGGCTCGTTTACGCGCGCTGTCAACAAGTGAACATTCGATGGACTTGATGCAAACTTTGCCCTCTGGGAAATATCTTTTGATTGTCCCCACGGGCTCTTCTGCAGCCCTTCTTGATTCATTACGGATTCATGCCTCGTCTCATCGAATCATCAACAGAGAAGATGATGCGACAAAGCGCTATTGAAGGAGAACCGTGGAGATCTTGCCTCAGCTGAGAAGTGTTTCCCTCATGGTCCGGGAGACGCCCTAGGATCGGCTTAGAGGCTGCACCCAGAGCGTCAGCATAAATGCGTTCTTTCCCTCCGGAAAATTCTGATCCTTTTTCCCGTACCGAATTGGTAGACGGCCAAATAGCATTGACAATGTCGGGTGCCGCGACGACAGGAGCAGCAAAAAAAGCACCAACAACGGCATCGGCAACGTACGAAAGCATTTTAGGTTACGGAACAACGATCACGCCACCGTCCAATCGACATTCGTTCGACTATTTCTGACTGTTGAGCTGTCGCGCCGCCTGCAGTTGACTTAGCTCATGAAGAAAATTATCGAGGCGCTCCAGCGAGAATGTTTTCCGGCTCTTGTCATATCAGCGACGACAACTTGTATTTGGCAAGCTGCATCTTCTGCGCTATCATGCTCGAAGACATAGTCTCGCTCATATCGCCATCGGAGTAGGGAATCGATGGGTAATTGAAATTATAGAGAGAAAATCGGAGACGCAGGGTTCGGGAACCTAGAGCCTGTTCGCTTCCCGGGCGATTGTGAACCCGAGTTCGAACAGTATAAGCGCCGAGTTTACGCCACTTCCTACCCCTTCAGAGTGTTTTGTCTGAACATATGTAATTTCCACCAGAAGGAGATATAGAGCCCTAAAATGCACTCGCCATTTTTCATGAATGGATCTGTTTTCTTCTGGAGCCCCAGAACAGGATCTCAAGCGGTCATGTCACCCACGGCAATGCGAGTTTTGCGCCAATCGTACCCAACGACCACAATGGCCCAAAGACATGACGAGTCGCCATCAGCAGTCGCATGTTACTTTTTTCTTGTATCGATGGATTGACGATCGGTCGACGTTGCGGTCTTCGCATCAAAGCTCGTTCGCCTCACGGACGGCTGTGCAAACGTCAGAAGCAGTGTCGTTTGAAAGGTAGTCGACGGAGTAACGAGCTGTTCGGGTTGGAAGGGAAATCATAAGCTTGACCGCGATTTCTGGGATCTCTGCGGTGACGTCAGCGAATCCGGGGAGTCCATGCTAGGCTGAAGATCTCGAGTCTAGTAAGCGAGAATGGCCCTCTCACGGCTACTTCGGCGAGAAGTCTCAATCTCATTCCAGTGGGAGAGGATGCTTGCGGACTGACCGACGGCATGTTCGAATGACGAGGGGGAGCGAGATTTCTCTTGCATCCAATCCACTATAGTCTGCATTAGGGTGCCGAATTCGGCGAACAATTTTTCCCGCACTTAAAGAAGGCGACCCGACCCCTCTAAGTTCGAGTGCTCTCTGATCGAGGAAAGGTTACGGAATCGAATTCGTTCTTGGCTCGCGCAATCATGCACGAGAGGAATCATGATTGAGTTTAAAACAAGCCACAGCGATGGATGCCGATGAAACAGAGTGCGCGTGGAGACCGGCTTTCGCCGTTAATTAATGATGCTGGTGGTGACTGGAGGATTTCGTCAGACTGTGTGGACAACAGTCGATCAAAGTGACACTTCATTTTGAGCGAAGGGAAACCATAAAACAATCAAGTCCGTCCACTGATCGGCTGTGGTTCTGCCGCTCGAATCGATCCGAGGCAAAGCGGCTGACTCCTCTCGGTATCCGCTCCTGGGGGAACACATCGCTATGCCTACGAAATACCTATTGGCTCTGGTAGCGGCTGTCGATGCCAGCACATCACCACGGACCCGATGAATCCATTCGAGGCTCATGTGATTCCGGGTGACAGCCTCGGCTAATGTGTCATAGTATTCATCAAAGATGATCGACGACCGATTATCGGAAGCCGAACGGACCGAATAACTCTATCACGACGTAGCTTATAAATCATTCCGCTTCACGTTATGGATCTCGGGGAATTCAAAACTCGTTTGCCGAGATCCTGCCCCTCGAATCTCAAGTCGAACCCGCTACGAAGCATAACAGTTTGCGAGACTACTTACGTATGACGCCATCAAACGGGGACATTTACGATGGCAGATGGACGTTTCATCGCTGAGGGTCGCCAATTTGTGGCAGCGGCAGGCGGTAATTCATGTCATCGGAGCAGAGTTGCGGGGCTCCCGTTTCCCTGGAGTCCACTGTTTGGGGAATTAATACATCTTCCTTATACCTTTGGATACATTCGAGTCAAGAGGGATAGAAATGTCTCCATGAGATAATGACAGCGGCGTGGGAATCGGCAGTGTTTCCATCAGATGGTCTCAGACAGCAACCGACGCGGAAAGTGAAACATCCAGGAAGACTTGCGCCCAGGACTCTCCATTGCCTGCTGAGGTACAAATAAGTTCCGTTCAAGAGACGCGAACGATGTTGTCTCGAATAAATATTCATTCCCGGATCATCAGAGCCTTGATTGCGAAGTCTCGCTGCCTGCATGCGCCTCGCGGGGCCCGAAGTCGACCGATTAGGCGAGTTTTTGACCGATTGGGCGAGTTTCTGACCGATTAGGCGGTCTGATATTACATCGACCGTACTAGTATGGGATAAATCGAGAACGGATGAAGCGGACCGATCGAGCTCTGGCTGATTACCGAAGCAGGCGACCAGGCGGCATCCACTGTTCTTGTCAGTTGTAATTCCTCGTTCATGCGGCGATCTGCCAGCAGACAACAGAGCTCCAGTTTCCGCAGTAGCGTCAGCGGCTAACCTTCTCGGGCTTGATTATTGACGTGTCGGCATCGGATGGAGTATCCAAGAGTAGCCTACTTACTCGAGTGAGATAGGCTCGACTTGTCCATGGGAGTGACCGGCGGTATTGGGGCTCTAGCTCACCCCCTGACGCTCAATTTCACATTGACCCAACGTTCGAAGCAGGAACCCCTCTCGGAAATCGCTGGATATACGACGACTGGTTCCGCGAATTCCCGTCATCGGATCAGCGGTCTGAGTTCGGAGCAAATAGCATGGTGGGAGCCTGCCTGGATGAACTCGTTCTTATCAGGCTGGAGAGGTATCAGAGCACAGGGAATTTCAGAAGCAAGTCTATCGACTCATACATCTCTATTCTATCTGTTCACCGAGAATATATCTGTTCACCGGGAAAATCTGAACAGCAATCCATAAGTAGGCGGACAGCTCCGAATAGGCCCATCGGGATCTGTATGCTCAGGAAAGCGTCAGAAATGCAACCTTAAATTGAGTAGACCTCCGCGGGGGCTGTTTGACGGAACTATCCGTATGATTCACAATTCACACAGATTGTCGTATAATCTATGAGACATAATGCTCCATTCTGTTTTCTCACAACGAAAAGCTTAGACGGTGAGTTTCAAGCATACTGACCATATGTAGATAGTATGAGTATGATGTCATTCCACCCCCTGACACGACAAAAGAGGAAATGATCCCGACGCAACCCTATCTAAGGGGGAAAGTTGTCAGGAAGTGAGTCTATGAAATTCAAGGCTTAAGAGATATTTTTCCGAAACTGGGAATTTCTACACACTTCCCGTTGGACAGAACTCTCAAGGTTATGAGTGTGTTCTTTCAGATGTTCGGTCAATACAAGGAGGATCTCGGCGAATTTGCACGTTCCGAGGCTCTCCGCCTCAAAAATCTCGAGCGGCTTCGCAAAACGGAAGAGAAGCTCACGAACAAAGACCTTAAGCCGTACAAAAGCGAATGGCAGAGGAAGTGCTTCAGTAAGTAACTCTCTTGGGCGTCGCATTTTTTTATTCGCTTCCCCCCACATCAATCTCGCTCCGAATTCTGATTCTCTATCTCCGGCGTCTCCATCGGCCGGCGTCCCCTATCGGGGCGCTTCCGTCACCTCCGAAGCCGCGTCGCTGAGCTATCAGCTCGATTCTTCCGGGGCTTCTATCGCTCTTCCCGACCTCCGTGAGCCGATTCCCATAAAGTTTCGCATCTGCGTGCAGACTCTTGTTTTTCTTCCGGGCTCAGAAATCCGAACCAAAAGAAGCACGGAAGGAACTCCCGGATCCCTGACTAGGGCCTTCAGCGCAAGTCATCGGCAAGGGAACCGCTAAGGCGTCTCTACTCTCCACGTACTCAGCTTGTCTTCGTTCTGAATGTTTCCGGGCTGGGAATCGTCGGCTGATACTGCGAAATGAAGTCTCGTGGACCGCTAGCCGATGGATTCGAATCCAATGAATGCGTTGTCCTCGATGTCACAGAATCCCGTATGCGTTCCTGGAAGACCGAGCCCTCCATGAGTCCTGGTCGCGTGGGAAGACGCTGTCTGACTTGTTCTGGACAGGAGACTTTTCGTTGGCGCGTGAACAACCGTGAATTAATAAGATATCTTATCAGCAACGAAGATACTTTGTCTCCCCGCTGATAGGAGAGCAGGCCGCTGCGGCGACCATCGAACTGAGCACCGATAAGACACGACCCACCCAACGGGGCCCCGGGGGATTCAAAAATCGGAAGTCGACATATTCGATCCCATCCGATTTCGCTGCATGGGGATCCGCGCAGGGACGAGGAGGGAAAAAGTCAAGCGGAACGAAATGTTGACGTGGAATGATCGAAGTCGAGCATTCCAGGCAAAGCTAGAGCTTGCCTCTGAGACAGCAGATTCTCTCGATTTCGGAAAGCTCCGGGAAAGATTGGCCCGAAAAGGTCGAAAGGCCCCTTCCCTGCTCGAACCAAGGAATGGTCGAAAATGTGATCCTTCAGACGTCCCGAATCGTCGTTATCCGCCACGTGTCACATGACACAAGCTCACCGTGGAGAGATTTTTCGTATGCTCAATGGAGCCAGGGTAGTCTAATTATCTCGAGAGCGAAGAAGACATTAGGTCGATCGTACGCATCGGAAACAAACATTCGGTCATTAATTGGATGAAAATTTTCAGACCTCATATCGCGATGCTGGAACAATACATTCTCTAAGATTGGGGGCGAAGACTGGTTTTTCTTACTGCTCCTGGGCGTCATATCGTCGCTGATATCATTCGGAATGGACTACGGCATTCAGACATTCCTCCGCAGTAAGTCAAGGGGCAGAGTTCCAGCCGCGCAACCCGATGCTCCGATGACACATCTGTTCCTCTGAATAGAGTCCCACCACTGAGTTAACTTCGAAGTGTGTTCCAGCTCGGCAATGGCTCTACAATGATCTAGCGTCCCATCTGGCGCTGAAGTACATCGCGTGGGTCTTCTTCCCGGTTCTTCTCATCCTTTTCTCCTGCGGTTTCGCTCACACCGTTGCACCGCAGGCGATCGGTGGGTCACTAATGAGATCGCTCAACGAAGTCGTTACGTCTAGTATGGCAATTCGATATACATACCTACTCGTCCGAAGAGGCGGACGAAGGATTTTCAATGAAACAGGTTACCTTTCCAGGGTCTGGCATCCCCGAGATGAAGACGATTCTCCGAGGAGTCGTGCTTAAGGAATACTTGACTTTTAAGACACTTGTAGCCAAGGTTGGTGGATGAGATCATGAAGAAGATCACGTATGCCGCTATAAGGACAGAGTGTACCGCAGTCGACCCTTTCTCCATGAGCATTATTCCTTATGCGGAGCCTCCCTCGTTCGCAGGTCATAGGTTTAACATGCACATTAGGAAGCGGCCTACCGCTCGGAAAGGAAGGGCCTTTTGTTCATATATCTTCTCTTATTGCGACAGTCCTATCCAAAGTTATATATTCTTTCAAAGGAATTTACGAGGTAAGTGCTCAGGTATATCTCGTGTCGATCGTATTTTTCTGAGCCAGGAAATTTTCCAGTCCTCCTTCAGGTCTTTAATTTCAGAATGAGTCTCGAACAAGTGAAATGCTGGCCGCCGCTTGTGCCGTTGGAGTAGCTTGCACATTCGCTGCGCCTCTGGGAGGTACGCATCCGAGGCTTGTACAGTCTCCTCCGTGACTATCATCGAGATTCATAAGGGAACGATCCCTTGAAACCGTCTCCGGCACGGCTTGTCTGCTGATATTTACATATACCGCGGAAGGACATCCTCCTCATAATGGCTGTTCGCCAGACATGGGCATTTTTATTAGGATAACTCGTGGGCCGCAGTTTGCTCTTCACTGGGGAGGCGGTACAAGTAGTCGAACGAGGACTCCTAGAGCATAACTCATTCGAACAGAGCTAGACAGCCGGTTATCCTATCGGCAAATGGAAAAGACGAATCTCCGACATCGATGTCCCGAGTGCTGCTCCCATGAGTGCATGAATACCACTGACTGAGTGCGTCGCGTGCTCGCGAGTGACGCCGATTCCTCAAGCAAACCGGAGCAAGCAGCTCCCAAAATGTATAAGACAAGGTCGCTGTCGTTACCGTATATCATGAGGATGATGATTGCGTTTAGGACTTCCGGAACGGACATCCGAAGACTCCTGATTCGTGTATTTCCTAAGAACTATTTAGGAGTCGCGCTTCGTCTGGAATTGCGCAAAGCGTCCTCATGCTGGAATATTGACCTCTGAGCACATCGTTCATTCCTTCCGTAGGTGTGTTATTCAGCATCGAGGTAACTTCAGTTTTCTTCGCCGTGAGAAACTACTGGCGAGGATTTTTCGCGGCGGCTTGCGGAGCTCTCGTATGGCAACTGCTCGGCGTGTGGTTGCGGGAACAAGGTAAAATCACGAACTTTTCGAGCCAGGAAACTATGTCCCGCACACGAGTATTACATCTATGTGCTCCACGGAGAGAATTCCGTCGAAATTAGATGCGATTCTGCTCAGAAGCGAAACATTCGATCGGATCTGGATGTGAGAGTTTGTAGGGCTGAATCGTTCGAATTCCGAGCGGACGACGTCGCAATTTCCACGGGCCGCCGGAGGCCTCATGGGTTGTCGTAAAAGAAGTCGCGGTTCCGCGTGATTGGGTCAAAAAATCCCGTCTAACAGAAGTTAAAAAATTTGTAGGCGTCGACCTTGACCGCCTCTATCTCATAGATCGCCACAAGCGTAAGAATGCCTCATTCGATACCGATGCCCTCCCTCACGAAGTTAGCTGAAACGCCACCAAGAAGCGATCACTGTCCGAGCGAAAAGTTAGCGGGCTATGCACTGAAAACTATCACCTCGAATCGGCGATAGGAACACGCGGCACCGCAGAACCCCACGCTGTATATTATTACCTACTTGCTTCCACCCATCGATATATCAGGGCTTGGCGAAAGGAGCGACTTGCTCATTCAGTCACTGGACCGGGGGGATTTTGTTGCTTCTTCCACCGCATCGCTCGCTGGTGACAGATGAGATCCGGACCCGAACTAAAAATCGGTTTTCCCTCTTCTTCTCAACAATTTTTGCAGATACAATCACCGCTGTCTTCCGGACGAATTTCCGAATGGATTTCCCATTCGATTTGGCTGAGCTGTTGGTCTACGCGGCCATGGGGGCGGCTTGTGGCGTACTCGGTGCTACGTTCGTGTACCTGCATAAGAAAATCGTCCTATTCAACCGGAAGCACAAACGGATGTCAGCCTTCCTGCAGAGGAATCGCTTTCTCTACCCTCTCATTATAACGACGTTGATCTCTACCATCACGTTCCCCCCATTTCTCGGGAAATACATGGCGGCTGAGGTAAGACTCTTCGGCCCGGAGTTCTTAGCTTGATTCTCCGCAATTAATCAGACGCCGAGCAACCCGATACAGGTGCAGCGAAACTTTTTGTCGGAGCCGTTTTCTTCCCTCCGCGCTAGTACTGCGGGAACGCAGCGTAGCTCTCCGAGTGACGCCCCGAGGGGAACTCCTATCCTGGAGAGCAGAGAGATAGTCTTGATTCTCCTCACGACGCGCGATTTTGCTTGATGCCTTCGGAACTCGATATCATCTCAACCCTCGATAGGGTGAACAATGATTCGTCTGTCAGCCAAAGACTAACGTAAGAACAGGCGCACATCTAAGGTTTCCAAGATATCGAACAGAAGCACAATATTCTTCTGAGTCTGAGGCAGCGCCCTTTGCGTTTCGCTCTTTCAAGCATCGCGGAGCCGGGCTCGCGAAGTTCAGCCGTCCTGACGGGTTTTTCCGTACCTCTTCTCTACGCTCCCACGTTCTGCCTAGTCGGAATGAGTTTTCTATCGAGGGGGCGAAATGATCCAGTCGCAATTCTAGTCAATGAGAGCTCTTGCAGAAAGTCTCGCAACCCTCTGCTGGCGATCTGGGTGATGGCTCCTGACGGCGTCGAGAGAACAAATGTGAACTATTACTCAAACCAACTCCCTCCTCGACAGTTAACTACCCATGAAGCAATCCACGACTTATTCTCTAATTTTACTTGGGGCTCTACCGACCTCGGCGTGGACGAAATGATCGTCGTTCAACGATGGCAGGAGAACCCTCTGGAGAGTTTTCATTTCACCCTCATAATGTTCGTCATCATGAATCTATGGATGACTGCGTTGGCCGCCACAATACCCGTACCTCTAGGTGAGTGAGACTGGATGACCCGAGATCCATGCTCTCGGAGTCCGGGAAATTTATGTAACAACTAGCTCTTCCCGAAGATAAAGAACTAGAGAGCGTAAGCTCTCAAACAGGTATTCAGACAGTCAATGAGCGGCAAAAATGCATCGGCCTGAAATCGGTTACCAAAATTAAGCTTTGAACGCCGACGGGAGCGACCGAAAAGTTTCCCGATGGGTTTCAAGATCGCGTCGCTCATTGAACTTACGGATTCAGCATGTCTAGCTGTACTGATCGATATTAAAACATGGGCGACTCAAGGAGGCTCGACGCTGAGTGTTATTCGGTGAAAACACTTGATTTACTAATTGGACATTGTGGAGCACCGACTCAGACTCGGCCACGGGGCTGAACTTATTCTCTCGCTCTCTCCCTGGTCAAATAACTGTACCAAGTAAACATGATGTGTTCCAGGTCTCTTCATCCCCGTGTTCAAGATGGGGGCTGCTTTCGGACGTCTCGTCGGCGAAAGCATCGCACAATATTGCCCACAGGGTATTCGGGTGGATTCAACCTTAGACAGCGGTCACAATCTAGTTATCCCAGGAGGGTATGCCGTGGCTGGAGCCGCGGCCATGGCTGGAGCTGCAACCCGGACGATATCGACTTGTGTCATTGCTTTTGAGATGACAGGTCAAATGTCACATATTCTGCCAGTCATGGTACGAGCCGAGAACCTTGAGAGACTTCCGCTCAATCTGCGACATTCGTTGCCGGCGATACTCGCTTCGAATGACTAGGCTTGGCTCTGAAACGCTTTGATTTTGTTTTGCAGATAGCCGTTCTCATTGCTAATGCGGTCTCACAAATGCTGCAACCGTCTGTGTATGATTTGATTATAACCTTGAAAAAGCTGCCTTATCTTCCCCCGATTCTCTCAACGTCGTCGCATGCCCACACGATCTATGTAGAAGATATCATGGTGAGAGATGTAAAGTTCATTTGGCAAGGCGCCACCTACCGCGATCTCAAACAGCTTCTGAAGGAGAACAAACGTTTGATGTGCTTCCCGTTTGTCGAATCACCTCGTGAGTAGTCGGCTCGTTTCCTCAATGATAACAAATCCTCTCTCGGTCCGCCATCCTCTCTCGGTTCCCCATCTGGCCCGGACCACGAGACTCCTAGGTTCCAAGAAGAACGACGATCATCTGCGCTTGCGCTTGATTATGCAGCCGATCCCCTGAGACGGAACTAAGTTTGATCTCGACCGAGTTCACGTTGGTGTTGTCCTCTGCTCCGTTCAGCTGGTGACATTCTGTTGCAGAATCAATGATCCTACTCGGCTCCATTCCACGAGTGGAATTGCTCCGATTGCTCGAAATGCAACTGGGGAGGTTCGTATAATCTCTAGGTTAACTTTGTCTCTCTCCTACGTTCCACCAGCAACGGTATCGGCGCCGGCCCGATTGCCCGTTGTTACGGTGATATATAATAAGTAATTGCATTAGCGGCCTATCTCTCGGTTGCTAAGGTAGAACCTACGTTCCTCTTTGTCCAGGTTCCGTCGCCTTGAGGAAGTAGCCAGACGACGGTCACAGGACGTCTCGGGACGGAGTCCCAGAGGGGATCGACGGAGGATGTCCCGATTCGTAGTTTCTCCTGTGACGACGAACAGTGCCAAGGTATACCTTCGTCAGTAAAAAAGCATCTATTCGTGAAGAGTCGTCAAGTCCGAAGCCATGCTCCGAAGAAGTCTCCGAGTTTCGGATCGGAGCTCCGGACACGCGTGGGCTTGAGGTTCTTTGAAGCGGAGCCGTGGGCGTCTGTGGCTTACAAACGCTAACGCGCCGACTGCTTCCTCGCTAGGCTCCAAAAAGTCGAATTTGAGTCCCGACTTCTCCTTTCGGAGCCAGAGCTCTCTCGCAGGGAGTCGGGATCTGTTCGAGGTTCCCTTTCCGAAAGGACGGAAAAATCGAGTACACGAATAGAACAAGAGATCAAAGCGTCTGTGACAGTCTGACAAGCTTGACGCTCATGTAAAAGTAGTCGCACATCAGTTTGACTCCTTAATGTCAGAGTCGAGCTCGCATACGAAAGTCGAAGACGAGCGCGTGTGATCTGAAGAGACTAAAGGAACGAAAACGAGCGTCAGCGGGACGACTTCTGGCATTGATCAGGCATAAGGTGCTTGTATGGTGAACAAACAGGCCGCTCCGGATAAGTTTCGGCTAATGATCTCTTGAGCGAACTCTCGCGAACTCCCTCACATCCACTTTCGTCAGCGGTTTTGTTGAAGAGTACTACTGGAAGAGTTCCGACTTGTTGAGTCGTCACTCCCGCAGCGCATCGGTTGGCAACCCATAGGCTCTTCCGCTCTCCGACCCAATTTCCTCTCGGGCCCGTCTCCCACGATCGTTTAGCTCGATATAAAGTCTGGAAATCTGATTTTGCAGCCGCTGACTAGAAGAGCTTCAACAAAATTCCGGGTATGATGACCGTTATTTCAAGTTTCGGCTGCTCACTTTCGAAGCTTAGCATTCTGAGCTCGATCAGGCTCCGCAAGATCAGCATCACCGTAACACAACTCTGACATCGTGTTCGTTCTTGAACCCGAGCCCCCACCGACCATGCACCCAAAATATTCCATACAAATAAGTGCCGGGGGCACCCTTGACGCTCGGAAAGAACGATTCCCAATTAGATAATTGAGTCTGACTGACCAGTGAGACCTCGCTCTGGAATGCTGCTATCGAGGAATCTTCCCAACAGCATGTTTCCGAAGAAGAACCTAGCGCGGTAGCTCGAATTCGTTGACCTGAATGGGAAAATCGGAGCTGAAAATTGACATCGTCCAGCATCGAGAAATCTCTCCCAATGCTTTTCGGAAACCATCACAGCATGATGATTTCCCTCGCCTCGTCGCCTGTCCTGTAAAGCTTAGTTGAGATCCTTCAGGGACTTCGTTTCATTTCAGCAAATATTCAACAAGAGCCAAACACAGGTAATGCTCGCTGCGGTGGAAATGTTTCTAAGGTCTATGCTCCCGAGTGAATATCTCCCCCAAATACCACGTGGACTGTGCCAGCGGTCTCTGTTTTAGGATTCCTCCCGCGTAGGCAATGAATTTGAGAATAATTCCATCGAGGTCCTTCCTGGAAGAGGCGGGGAGGGGGTGGGCAATGTCGGGGGTTTCAAGCTGAGAAGCCCCGCTGGCGCTCTACGAATGTCTGGTATTCACTGAGCGCGGAGCAAGGTGTTCTTCTTCAGATTTATCTGTTTTTCGTTCGTCCAGCTCTCGGAATCAGCAGACGTACCGACGATGGAAGTATGGGAGAGCTGGAAAGAATATTTTAGTGAGCAGAAGACGATCTTGATTTCAGCCGTCTCCGAAGTCTTCACCGCCACCATCCCCACCCATGACGCCGCGAGTGCCAAAAAAATCTATACTGAAGGATCACGGTCTGACCATATACGGGAACCGAGACTACCAATCGCCCTACGCAACCGTGACGTCCTACGGTAAGTGCTTCGGACATGTTCACATTTCACGTTTGATATACGAGGCGTGGAGGAATCTTGAGCGATTGACGAGTCTCGGACGCCTTCGGATCGGTACTCCCGAATTGTTCCCCCTCGAACGGTGGAGGCCTCGAAACTGATCATATCCGGGCTCGACACCCGGATATGATCCGATTCCAGCGGAGCTATCATTTGCTGTATCATCGCGTAGCCTTAGTTTGAAACCGCAAATTCCAGATTCCCGTTTGAGACAGGCGTTCGAAGTTATTTCGAGAAAACTCCTCACACTCCCGGACGCGAACCCTTCCGATGGTGATAGTAATCCAGCCACTCCACAGGTCAAGAGAGTTCAACTGGTGAGTACGAGTGAGCATTCTCGTGCACTAGCTCCAGAGCGCGTCGGGGACAAGGAAAGCGATCGATTAGAACTCCGCTGCTGAGCTAACAATGGAGCCGAAACAATAAAAAAAATAATTATCCTCTCGGCGGCTCCGCCGCGGAAAGGGAGGAGTCGTGAGAGTCAGCCGGCTTCGCTTATTGCCAATCCCATTTGCCCCATTGATTCCTCGCCGGGGGAACCAGAAAGGAAAACATTATTCTGTCACTACAAATACTGCCGATACCCGTGGCACATGGTCGATCGTACAAACGGACGATCTGATGAAGTTGTTCGCTATGATGCAATCAACGACATAAACAGGAAAAATGAGACCCGTCATAATCCAGACGTTCTCATGTCTGTCGCTAGCACTGAAGTAAACATCTGCACGGGCGAAGTTGGCCACTGCCTACCCACACGACTTGATCGCTGTGTGAAATGTAATGAGGGGTTCTGCTATCGTGTCCCAGCGATGTTGACGAACTTGGCGATCTCCGCTCCGTCATGCGACTAGCCCCGCTGATGTTCGGAAGGATCGATCGTCTTTTATTTTCTTCGAAGAGCTGCCTAGGGACCCTGCAATCGCTCCATCATTCGTACTTGTAGAGTCCGCTCATTCTTCTTAACACCATCTTGAGTCAGCGAGGGAGCGTCTCTTCTTCCTTTCTGATGCATGGCCGAATATTTCATCTCACAACGACCACTCTATGTGCGAGCTCCTGACCTCGGGCGGGCATTCGTCTTGCCTTTGTGACTCCATGACTCCCTGTCGTGCAGCTGACTTGCTGGGAGCTAAGCGAGAGAGCTGCATCGGGAAAGACGGGAAAAAGGAACAGATAAAGCATGATAAAATAGGAAACGGCGAGATATAAGCGAGAATAAGGAGGAGCCTCCTCATTGCTTGCGTGTGGCTCGAATCGCTCAAGTACTGTTTGAATACTGCCAGTCTCCAGTCGGCCTGCTCTCCGGACAACCGTCCTTCGAAAAAGAACGGTCAACGACAGCGTGAATACTGTCGCTCGGGAAGAGCCAGGATTCGTCTAGATTTAAACAGGCAAGCGGGGAGCCTTTTCTGACTGGATGCGGGCCCTTTCTTCCGATGTGTTGTCTGTCTGCTGGCAGAACTGGTCCGTTCCTCGTCCAGATGAGTCTTTATTCCCCCGACTCCGAGAATGCGCGAATCGCGTGAAAGGAGAGCTCTGCTCGGACTCTCGCTCCGTCTTTTTCTCATGGTAGAACTTAAGTCGCAAGATTCCTTGAACACGATACAGAGACATTATTAGAGGGGTATGTTTCGCCCAACGAATTAATGGTCTTTTCAGTAGTCTGTTATCACCCGTCACTTTTCTGCTTCCGCAGGTCCAGGTTAAGATATGATGTCGATGGTCACCGTCTCTCGATGCCATTTGTGTGAATTGAAAGCAATCGTCTCCGCTACCTCATGTCCCATCGATTTCTCATTACCAATGTTGATGTTGTTACAGCCCCGCGAACGTGTTATCGATATGTCTCCCGAGGAGCAGCTAGCATGGGAAGAAGAACAGTTGTCCCAGGCCGTCAACTATGCAGAGTGTCATATCGACCCAGCGCCATTCCAGCTCGTGGAGAGAACGACTCTCATCAAGGTAGGCGCTCAGAAGCCTGCTCATACAATCTGTGCCGTCCCCGCATTGTTTTCGGTCCGTGTGGTGGGTGGAAAAAAATGTGGAAGCAAGCCGCCCTCCCGCGAGTGCACCGTTGCTAGGGACTTCCATTCGGAGAAAACGGCTGCGATGATCCGTCTGGTCTGATTCAGATGGAAATACCGCAGCAAAGACTTCCGCCACCTGCTCATGTCTACCAGCAGTGTTGGGAGATCCTGGGGGTCAGTAGGAATCGGTCTCGTACGCGGTCTGACTCGCGTGCTGTGTTACGTGCGCACGCCGTCGAAATGCGATTTCCTCCTCATGGGAATGCGCAGGGGTTCTTGCTTTGGTCAGTGCCAGCCGCGCGCACGCCACGGCAACTAGGACTGTCGGTGCCGAGCGTGGGCGAGATTCGCTCCTTCATGGAGCGTTCTCATGATAGAGGACTTGTTGCATTGAATGCGTAGCTCTTATGGAGATGAATCGAAATCAATGTTTACGTGAGTTCGCGAGGAACGAAATCTCGATCCGTGCGAGTTGCTTCGGGTCGTAGTGCGCTTGGAATTCATCTCACACGAATCCAAACTTCCATCGCAGGTACATTCCATCTTCTCGATGTTGGGCCTGCAGCACGCCTATGTGACGGCGATCGGAAGACTCATCGGGGTAGTTTCCCTGAAGGAGGTTCGTACAAGCTTTCGCTCCAGCTCTGATTAGAGTTCTGTTTCCCAATCGGGACTCGGTTCGGGTTAGAGTCACCAACCGAGCCGTTTTTTCACACACAACGAGCCGCTCGCATCGAATAATGATATCGAACTCTTGTCGTCGGCAGCTCCGGAAAGCCATCGAGAAGATGAACACCGGGGGTTTCGGGAGAGAGATGAAGAAGGAGGACGAAGACAAGAAGCCTTTCGGTCCGAACGAGGACATCGGAGGCGTATCCGAGCCGGAAACTCAGTCAGAAGACGAACTCGTTGTACCGGACGCGACACCCGGCGGGAGCAAGCTCCCCGTTTGAGCAGCTGGTTGCTCTGCTGGAAAGTAAGCTCAGTTTGTGGTTCAAAACTGCGCGACCAGCCGTTGTCGCTGTGTCGAGCACGGTCGCCGGCACAACTCTCAGCAGAGGAGCCATCACTAGTCTTGTATTCTCGAAGGTTCTCAAATACCTCTCCGAAAGAAGAAATTCCGCAGAAGTCGAAGTTCCTGAGTTGTTCAACGTTCTGATCTTAGGTGACCAGAAAATGTTTTCATGCATAGGAGGCATTGTGGGAAGCGGGTCGGCTCGCCTGTGAATGTCGCATATCTGTAAATACCCATCTGAGACTAAGGATATTCCCCTTAGAGGGACACATGACGAAGCGCCAGCATGACGGCCTCATAGGAATAATTACCTTTCAAACTCGAGAAATAGCTGTTGTTGAAGGAATTCTGTGCGTTTGTCCCCCTGGGAGGCATGATCCTCGCGAAGGAATTCATACGATCTTGTTTTGGGTGAACATAATCAACGAAAATGCCTCGGGGTGAGATTGTTCGACAGGGTCTCCAATGGCGGAGGCCTTGACGTCGGTACTGCGGTCGAGTACCGTCAGTAGGAGCACAGACGACAGAACCGTGTTCATTCATAAGCGTCGTGATTCATTCGTGTTGATATGTTGATATTCGTGTTGTTCTAGGTAGCACATAAATTATTCACGCTGTTCCGATGCTTCGGCGGAGTCTGAAACGTTCATATGTCAAAAGGACGCGGCAAGCTTTCAGAATGTATTCGAGAACTTGCTCATACTTCCAACTACCCGGGAGGAGGAAGCTTGTCAGACGAGAAAAAACTCGGAGCTTGCTCCGTTTGTTTTCTGGGTTTTCAACAGAGACTCCGATAAGGGGTCGAAACGAATAGTTCGAAAATAATTGCAATATACAGTTGTTGGGTCGGAAACCAGAGGCGATTCAGTGTTCTCATTTGCAAATTCACCGCAAGCTCTCGGTCAGCGACGACAAGTCACTGACAGAGAAGGACGGTGTTCTCCTGGAAACAACTGGAGCCGAACGTCCAGCGTTTCGTACAAATTCCCATCCAGCTGTAACAAACCGGCGAGCCGAGCGGGCATAACGCATGCAGAGAAACGAAGTCCGGAAGTCATTTCCCGTTCTCGGGGCCGGGCCCGCATTAATCAAGCGTCTTCCGCGCTGAAGCAACCAGAGTGATACCGAAACTTCAGAGTTAGTATACGTCCTGCATGACAAGTCGTTCTTATCGCCACAGACGTATCGTTTGAACAGATTTCGACCGCTCGAAGGGCACTCGCTCGCTCGCGCAGCGTGAGAGCTGTTTACGGATTGCGCATCGTCTACCAGCTGATAGAATGAATTAGTGCGACCTTCGAAAGATCCGATAGGGAACTGAAAAAATCAATTAGGTGAATTCATCCATTCGGGGGGTTCCGATATCGGAGAATCGTCAAGCGACTAAATTTTCTCGAATGAATGGATAACGTGAGGTATAAGGAGACCGAACCTCCCCACTTTTCGCGGAGACCGAATTTCCCATCCACATACGGCGAGTCGCGGAGTCCGAAAACTACGTAACCTCCTTGTATTGTAGTGATCGAATCCCCCCTTCCATCGGAACGATTCCTGGAGATATCCCGTGATGAGGAGCGACATCTCAATCGGATTGGTGGCTAGAACAAGGGTTCTGACGCCCCGTTCCACAGACTCCCGGTGTGCCTGCTTTCCGAATTTGAGGATGGCGATTCGCAGCTGCGTTCAGTCCGGCGCCACTCGGCTATAGGTAGATATTTTTCCCGCTCCCCAAGCTTGAAGAATGCCGTGAGGTTCCGGCGGAGCCCCTGGTAGCTCGGACACTTTTCTCTGACAGCGTCACCCGATTTATCGGAGAACGAATGCCTGGGTGTTGTACAATAGTCGAGATAGACCGACTTTTCAACAAGCAAGGTAGGCGCTGGGCGCTAGGTCAGCCTGGTTTTTTATCAAAAAAGGACAATTTTCAGAATAATTACGGCGTTCCTGTTGCCTTCGAGCATCGTGTATTACGCGAGGTCTGTTTGGAAATTGTAGGAGGGACTGGGGGAAAATGATTGGACAGCACGATAATTATTTTCCTCGATTGTCTCATGCTGTCCAAGACACAGTGTGTTATGCTCGGCGAGGAAATCCCCGTCGTAAAGGCGATGCTTGAGCTCCCCAAAGCTCTCCAAACGAGGCATCAAATCACGCAGGACGAAATGCACGTCGTGCGTGCTGTATGACACGAATGCATCGGATAGGAATTTACGTATTGCTCTCCCGCCTCTGACCGACTGCCGGCTGCCATCAAGTGTGTAATTTTCGAGCCACTTCTCGAGGCGTTGTCTGCACACCAGACCCGCTATCATAGCAATTGCCGCAATCGCAACCGCGAACGACAGGAACGAAACGGCCACCATAAGAAAAGGTTGACAGTGCATCTCCAGCCTCTCCGAAACAGACAGAATGTGCACACCTCGTAAGCTCTCCAGCTTCGCGAATCCGTGAGCCCTCGCGAACTGTCGCTTGAAAACTTCTATTTTCGCTTCGCTCAGTATGCTAAGCAAGGGCTGAATCGCACATTCGAACGATGCGGATTGTTGCTCAAATTCAAGTAGCGGTGTTTGTGCTGGCAAGTGTTCGTGCCCTGTGCGAGATCTCATCAAGGGGGACATCCAGACTCTCATTAGGTGGAGGGCCCAGGGAGTACGATTTCATATTTGCTCTGAGATCCGGAATGAAGAGTAGATTACTCGTGTCGAGCTGAAGTTCCTCGGGTGAAACTACCTGGGTGGGGGAAAGTTTTCGCAGCGTGTCAGGCCGCTCCTGTTCCCGTCGAGAAAAGGCATTTCAGCTGAGCGAGAGACGCGAGAATTCGCTCCGGGTCACTGGTCGGTGTGAAGATAGCGTTTCCGGTGAGATCAAGACTCTCCAATTCCATCAATGAGCCAAAGCCGCCCTCTGGGAGATAGAAGATACGACAGAGAGACAAGTCCAATTCCATCAGGTCTGTCAAGCCGTCGAAAGTGTCAACGCTGAGGCTGGGTATCCTTCGGTGGCGTAGAATTAATTTTCTGAGGTTGGACATGCCTCCGAAAACACCCGGCGACTTCATTGTCAGAATCTGCTGTCGACTCCTGAAACCGTATATGTCAACCTGCGCGAGCTGAACGAGCGAGCCCTCCACAAAAATTTCCGGAGACAAGGGACCCGGAGACACTCCAGGTGAAGCGGAGAAGAGGTCGAGATCACCTGTCTTGATTGTGTTTTTCATTTTTGGGCTCAAGGGGGTTGCGATTTCCTCCGTTCCGGAGGAAGGGAAAATCCGTTGAATATTCCGAATTTCGCAACTCGTGCGTTCAGTCGCCGACTGACGCCAAGAGGGTAGAAGAGCTTCAGATCCAAAAACTCGAGCAACGCTCGACTTTTTCCTGATTCCTGATCGCATTTTTTTCGGAGCTCTTCCCGTCCCCAATCGATTCCGTATTGTCTGCCGAGCTGAGTCCCGCCCGGTTTCGGAGCTGACTGTCGGCCAGCAGGTCTATCGATGTCGAAAAAGTCAAATCTGATGTCCTTGAGCGTCGACTTCTCGTCGGCGGATCTCGAGTCTTCCCCCGTGATCGACGAAATCGACGGGGAGCTTGCATCGAGGAATCCCAGTCGAGGTAATCGAGACAGCGCCGGTTCGATCGAGCTCAGTTGACCTATGTGGGAGCGTTCGCGTGACACAAACGGAAGGTTTCTGGTCCGCGCGAAGGCTTCCGGGTGAATCGCCGCAACGGGTTGTCGTTCATTATGAGAGTTTCCATTTGCTCCAGACCGATGAACGAGTCGGCTTCGATGCTCACCACCAGACTCTCGGCCAAATGCAAGAATCTGATGGGATATTGAGCGAGAGCGCTGCCGATGCCGCTGCCCTTTAGGCTCGGCATAGAAGTTCCGTGAGCGGAAACATCGGGAACGTCCCCGGGATTATCAATCGGAGGTATCGAATTGCAATTTATCGTAGTCGGTGATCGCAACTTCAGTTCGCGAATGAGGTTTGACGGTGCAATTCGCGCGTATCACCGTTTCCATCGGAGCCTTGTGCCGCAAGCTGCTTTTTGTTCGATGGTTTTGCTCTGGATAAAATTGTGGAACGTCACGCCACAATAGTCCCGAGCACGACGAGGAGCACACAGCAGACACCACAAAGGAACGGATAGATATACTCTGTCGCTTGTCCCGGATCGCCAACATCGAAGTGCATCTCACTCCGCCACCTTCCAGACGCAGCCCTCAGAAAGGAACGAGCACTCTGCGATTGAATCGTGTGGTGGGCTCTCTGCCGTCCAGCCAGGACGGAGTCATGTATGTATACATGCCGAAGGCACACAACGAACAAAAACAGGCCACCCATCCGTTCGCTCCCTTCGAGCGAGTCGCGTACAGGTGGTAATGTTTTCTGTTCGTCGGATGGGCAGGAGTGCTTGCGTCAGCTGTCACTTTAGCCTAAGTCGAAATTCTTGCGAGGGATGACGCGGTTTTTTCTCATGACCAGTTGAATCTGCTGCTGCGTCTGCTCTTTCCCAACAAGGACAAGCACGAGCTCCGTTCACATCGATGACTTTGCCGCTTGTTTGTTACCTGGGTCAGGGAAGAACTCATTAAAAGCGTGACTCGATTCACTCATTGCCTGCCGGTGGGGACGTGTTTGGAAAAACACTGATCACGTAGTTCCTCTCCCCGGAACTTGTCGTCGGCATCGGTATCGTCTCAGAACGAGGGCAGGAAACGCGCGGCCCGGCCAAAACGAGGAGGGTGCTTCCTGGTGATTCGGAGCAAAGAACGCAGCGGAAGGGAAGGAGCAATTCTCGTGGACTTCAAACGTGAATAGTCCGACAGGGAAGCGAAGACAGACAGCGAACTAACGCCGTCACCGACCCTTATTTGAATAACATCTGTCGGCGCCCTTCCGCTACTCTGCCGCCATTCAAAAACCCATGTTTCTTCTTCTCGCATTGGACTTCAGAGATTTTCTGCGAAGGCACAGATTATACCGGAAACTCACAACTTTCATTTATCCGGCTCTCGGAGCTCTCTGTGATGGAGAACGAGTCGTTCGAATCCTGTGCACGCGCCACGTCAACGAGAATCCCGACGGAACTTCTGCTCCTGAGAGCAGACTGCGTCGAGCTTCGCAAATCGTTGCTCCCCTCCTATTGTGCTTGCTCTCATCCGGAATTTCCGAAGGTGGTTCCGTCGTGCCGACTCAGCACTGGACTACCCTGCAACAAGTCATTGCTGCGTCCGCCAACGCTTAGAATTCATGGTCCCACCTCTTCGTTGTCAGGCAGCGTTATTCGCGGCCAATGGAACGAATTGTTTGGGACCTCAGGAGAGCACCCGGTGTATCCTTAGTCCATAAGCCTTCGACAAGGCAATCTTTCCCCAGCACGAACCACGGAAATCACCATTGGACGGAGCCTCCAGGCAGATTTCATGGTAGCAAAACGCCCACTTGAGGTTCAGAGCTGCTCGCATCAGATCTCGCCTCGTAAATATTCAGTAGCTCCTCTTAGTAATGCCCAGAGTGCACTCGCTCACGAACAACGGATTTGTGGACCGATAGCAGCGGGAAAGTCAATAGGCTTCCGTTTTTTGTCCCAAAGAGAATAGTGTCTCCCTCTTTCCGTCGGGAAGATCTCGACTCACCACTACCCGCTCCACGTACGTCGCTGAGCGGAGTATAAGCCGCAGTCGCTGGCGGTCCGTTCGATCTTACCGAGGTTGGAACTACGATATTGCAC